CCATACCTTAATTCACATTGTAAACCTCTCTGCCTATCTCTGACTTCAACTCTCTCATCTTCGAGTCTCCCCAAGAAAGTTTTGACACCACACCAACATTTCATTCGTCAAAATTAAATCGAGTTTGCACAAGGTTACAACCGATTAATAGGTGGTCTTCTACCTTCTATTTACGATTTTATGCTATGAATATATGTTTTTGTCAGGGTTCAAGTCAATCTCCGGATTAGAGATTTATAATCATCCGACGAACAATACGATGGCGTGATAACCGTTTCTAAATTGGTGGGTTCTCTTTCATTGATCTACATATTATTTTTTTGTTCGTTTTTTTTTTCCAAATATTTAGATTGAAACGACGACGAACACGCGATCATACCAAAAATTTCATCTATTCCAGTACGTTTGATCTTTATTTTAATTAGTTTAACAATTAATAGCCGTTTACGATTAATTTCGGATATCTAAATCTTATTAATTTGAGTAAGGTTAGAATAGTATTCTTTTATGTTTATATTAATGCTCCGATTAATAATTTTCGGATATTTGACATTATCATCTTAAATATATCAATATTATAATAAATATTTTCCTTTTCCGATTTTTTTTTTTTGGTATAATTCCTTTTCCGATAAATTATGAAACAGATCTGTTTACACAAAAGGTAAAAAAGAAAAAAAACAAAAAAAAAAAAAAAAAACCCATCAACCGTCTCCATTCACACGTTTCTTCATTATGATCACGAATTCACGTTCATGGAAGCTTCATCATACATTAACACTTACAAGTTTCTTCGTCGAGTTTTTATCCAAGGTTTCTTCGTCAACTCTGTATCCAAGGTAATAAATATTTTTTCTTTTCATTGGTTAGAATTATAGGGTGCAGGATAGTATTGACGTCTTAAAGACATAACATGGGCAAGATACTATGAGAAGCTTGACTATTCTGCTTCGACAGATCAACAGGTGAAATTCTATCACTAAATTATTAGATCTCTGTTATTGCTATGAATATATGCTTTATGTTAGGATTTCAAGTTTTGCCTTCGTTTAGAAGAATTATATTCACACGACGAAGAACACGATGAATTCAATTAAAGCTTCCTAACTGGTACTTCGTTGTTCCTTTTTTTTTTTGGTTAATTATCATGTTTATTGTTTCCAAAATTATTTTTTCCTGGTTAATTCCGAAATTCAATTTAATTTTTCCAAAATTAATTAGATTTCATTAAGGGTAATTAAGTAATTACGTAAAATCAATGACTCAACAAGAGCCGAGAGTCCGACACGTCAGCAAAAACACTTCTCAAATATTGTTATATATAGATGCCACACAAAAAAAAAAAAAAAAGTAGCAGTGATATATCCTAGATTACAATATCGAATATTTCGGAGTCTGCAACCATGTAGTAATCGAACCGTTCTACACAAAACTCATCTCCAGCTTTTGGATTCTGTAACAAAAAGTCTGAACAAAAGATGCATGAACAGCTATCTCCAACAGAGTTTTAAAAATCTCCAGAAAGTCCAAATTCCTTCCAACCATGAGATGTGACAAACAACCGAACAGCCTCAGAAGAATGCTTCGGACCAGATGTTATTGTTCCCTGCAAAGACATCATATGCACATGCAGAAAGATCCTAGTAAGTAAGTATGAAAGCACAAATCCAATGCTTTAGCCAAAAAAGATAAAGAGACTAGATTTCATGTCTCTAAAGACAGATGTTACGAAATCTGGTTAAGTTTGAAGACAACTTCATCAAGTATGAACAAAAGATATTGATCTCTAGTGCAAGCTACATACAAAATCTGCGGCAATTACAAGGTAAGCTAAACTAATATTCAACCCCGCAAAAAAAAAAAAAAAAAAAAAAAAACTAGTTCTCTGCAGTAGTGAATCCACATTCCTTCCAACCATGATATGAATGCTTCAGAAGAACTGAGATCGGAACAGCCTCAGAAGAATGCTTCGGACCAGATGTTATCATATGCACCTGCAGAAAGAACCTAGTATAAGTATGAAAGCACAAATCCGATGCTTTAGCCAAAAAATAAAGAGACCAGATTTCATGTCTCTAAAGGCAGATTTTACAAAATCTGTTCAAGTTTGAAGACAACTTTATCAAGAGTTTCATTCAAAGCATTCTCTGGTGTCCAAGTAGCATCATGTAACTCCTTATGTCCGGTAACAGTAATATATAGAGTGATTGAGAGGATCTGAGTTCAGTGAAGGAAGAAGCTGAGTTAAAGTCATTATCTGAGTGTAGAGTAACCATCTACTGCCATAAAATCCTTACAAAAAAAAAAAAAAAGTCATAATCATATTAAGCCAAAGTTTCTTTCTTTCCAATAGACCCATATCGTTCAAATTTAATATGTTTGGGTGTCTAGTATTAGCTAAAATATTGGGGTCTGAACAGAGAAAAATGAATATACCTCTATAAGTGAAAAGAAAAAAAAAAATCAACAATTACACTATGCAACGATAATACGATATAATAAGATTTGAAATTTCACCTAGAGATATCGGACACTCTGCTCAACTTAACAGCTCATCAGTTTTGCAACGGCCTTCACTTCATTCGACTTCCCACCTGCGCGAGTGATCTCCAAGCGCTCTCCAACCGCCAGAGTCTTTAAAAGACTAAAATTGCCCCTCTTTCCGTGCAACAGAAGCTTACTCTTCTTCTCTCCCTCTCTTGATTCTTGATCATCAAACAACTGCGATTTTTCCTTCTCACTCCACACGCGATTGCTTCACTCTGTTTCTCTCTCTTCTTCCTCCAAGAACAACGCTTTTTTCATCTCTCTCTTCTCCCTCAAGACCCTGCTTTCTCATCTCTCTCTTCTTCCTCGAAGAACAACATCGCCGTTTTCTCTTCTCTCTCTACCCGATGAATTCTAACGACGACGCAGATCATCCCGACGAAAATCAACCGGAATCTCCTCCAGCAAATCAACTGGCTAATCCTCCTCCTTCGCCGGTAAGTTTCCCGATTACGAGTCGTTTGAAGTAAAAAAAGCTCCTATCTTTCCGCAACTAGGGTTTTGTTGGATATGGAATCGTCTAGTGCCAACTTTGAGTTTTTTGTTTGGTTCTTTTTCTTTCTTGCGCATTTAGTTATGAAATCGTATAGGGTCTACTAAAGTTTTTGACTTTTCCGCATCACATTCTTATGTTGTTTGGGGCTTGAAAATTTCAAGATTTTGCAACAATTGGTTGGGCCAGAATCGTTTAGGGCCATTGTTTCGAAGTTTTTTTTTCTTGTTCTTGCGGAATTGAGAACCGGTTGATTAGGGTTTGTTTGGGCCTGACCTTTCACATTCTTCTTTACGCAATTTTAGCAATTGGGCCCAAATTTTTGATCTTTTGCTTTCTTCTACAGACCGCCGCAGATTATCGAGCAGCGTGGTACGTACTGGAATATGCCAACGGAGGGTCGATGCCGTGTCTCTACCGATCCCAACTGGATTATCGGCGGAGATGCTGTCACGTGGGCTGCATGCTCGCCGCTAAACTTGGTACAGGTTATTGTTGTGATGACCACAGGCTGATGGCCGGAACCACTACCACCCGTTTTGCTTTCCATTACCGAGGGGGCTTCACCGACATCAATCAAAAACACAGGTTTTGTTGTATCTGCATATACAATAGTCTGAGAGGATTTAAAGTTGGTGTCCCAACTCTTGTTGGAAACATCTTCACAACATTGCCTTGGAGGCAGAGTGGCGTCTTCAACACCCATCTTGAAGCAACCAATGATTGGCTGTTCTTTGCAACTCCACCCACTAACTACAGTGCGATTGGAGATACTGGTCTAAAGTGGAAAGCAAACCAAAAGAAAGAAATACAATTCCCGGATCATCAGCGGATTGTCCTGACTCCTCTCTATCTCAGACCTATCCCCGGTCGTGATGTTGATTCTGAATTGAAGATGAGGAGCAAAAAATGGGCTCTCGTCCTCTATGAGTGTGGAGAATTCTCTCTTTACTGCCTTTCATTTTCATGTTCCACCACCAAAGTTGATCCGGAACAAATGCCGTTGTTTCCAAAATCTAACCCTCCTGATTCTGATCCTAAGGGTGATTCTGATCCTAAGGGTGATTCTGATTCTACTCCAAGACCACCAAGGAAGGCAGAGAAGGCAAAGAAGACTGATGGGTTACCAAAAGCCTCTTCCTCTGTTTGTGTTGAGCAGACAAAAAGTTCATCTTTTCTTGAGACATATGGTGAGTATTGGCCTCAATTCCTTTTATAACTCATCACATAGAAGTGTTTGTTTCTAATTGCCCATATAAATGTTTTCGTTTTGATTATCACTCCACTCTACATTGGGTGGGGTCTCGGTGGTGTGTTTACATTTCTCTAAGAAACTCATCTCAATGGATTAAGATCATTTTTTCTTTGTCTATGAAACTTTTTCATTGATTGCTGATTTTATTCTTTGATAAATAATCTTCCACAGGTTCTGTCTGGTTTGCTAACGAGATGAAAGCACTTTGTGATGGTTGTGAACAGTTTATGTGCTTCCCCCCAGGCCACATCTATTCAAGTAAACAAGGTTCGCACTTCATATCTATTTTAAAATCAAATACTGACGTTTCTTGGCTGACTCATATTGTAGTGGACACGCTCACAGATATCAAAGTTGTCAAATTGGTTTTGGTTATGGATTTCCATCTTTTTAGTAAGTTTGTGTTGGGGCTTTTACTGTGTAGTTTCATGGAACAAACCTTTCTTGTAGGTGGGCTTAGGAGGTTGTACAACCCCCCGTGGTTCTCTGAGTTGGTTCCTTCAACCCCATATGATCCCTTAGCGGTGCGCAATACTTTTGAGAAGGTAAATTCTGGAGCTCTATCCTCCTCAAGGTCTCGAATGTCAATTTCATTATACTGTTTGTATAGCTGCACATTCTTCTCTGATATTTGCTGATCTGGTTCTGTGATCAAGCAAGGGGAGGAGCTCTTTGGAGATTACGAGTGGGAGAGGTTTGACTTACTGGTGCTACCTCCGAGTTTTCCTTATGGAGGTATGGAGAATCCAAGAATGGTTTTCCTGACGCCTACTGTTATCAGAGGAGACGCCACTGGAGCTCAAGTTGTAGCTCACGAGCTCGCACATAGCTGGACTGGGAATTTGATCACTAACATCAACAACGAACATTTCTGGTTGAATGAGGTATTTTCTTGATCAGCTCTTCTGATTTCCCAAATACTCTACCTCAGTTTATGCTTCATGGTGAAAAAGATGAGTTAGCTTTGAATTGTCCTGTGCTTTTGCTTCTTTTAGCTACAAATTAGGATGTTTAACTGTTTGTCTGTTTTTAGAGTTTGCCTTGTTGATACTTATTTCATGTTCATTGCAATAGGGATTTACAACTTACGCAGAGAGGAGAATTGTGGAAGTTGTCCAAGGGGCGGATAGAGCTACTCTGAATATTGGCATTGGTTGGAGGGGTTTAACTGATGAAATGGAACGGTTTAAGGACAACTTGGAGTGCACTAAACTGTGGAACAAACAAGAAGGTGTTGATCCAGATGATGTATATTCTCAGGTCCCATATGAAAAAGGATTCCAATTTGTGTTGCGAATTGAGCGCCAGGTAAGTTGAATTGCCGTCTCCACTTGGGTGTTTTGTTATGTAATGTTTACAATAATGGTCATCTATTTACTTTGGAAAACTTTCAGATTGGAAGGACTGCATTTGACGAATTCCTCAAGATATACATTGCTACTTTCAAGTTCAAGTCAATCGATGCAAACACATTTCTTGAATTCCTGAAAGCAAACATCCCTGGCATAGAGAAAGAGATCAACCTACAGCTGTGGACTGAGGGCGTTGGTATACCTGAGGATGCATATGAACTGGCCTCAACCATTTACACAAAGATCATATCCCTGGCAAAAGAGTTTAAGGAAGGAAGGATGCCAGGTGAGGATGATGGTGCTGAGTGGAACGGACAGGAATGGGAGCTGTACTTGGAGAATCTTACTAAATCATGTGAACCTTCTCAGGTACTCTTTACACTTCCTTTCTTCCTCTTAAGATAATAGAAAGTTGCTAGGTGCATTAGACTTAGGTTGAACTAATTGGTAAGCTTTCATAAGGAAGAGAGGGAGAGTAATCAGGTTCAGTAAAGGAAGGATCGGTAATCAGGTTACTAACACCTGTTTGCTTATTGGTGATTCAGGTCATGGCCTTGGACAAGCGGTACAGACTAGCAGAATCGAAGGACTATGAAGTGAAGGTCTCGTTTCTGCAGCTTGCAGTCGCATCCAAGTGCAGAGAGTACCATGGGGAGGATAAAACCGAAGATTCTCGTCCCGAGAAGCTACAGAAACTAGCAGAGAAGACTCCAGCCATTGTTTGAGGATAAACAAGGTTTAAGAATGTTGAATCGCGCACTACTCTTCTTCTCTCAAAGACAATACTTATCCTCTTCTCTAGGAATAGGATTGATGACCAAAAAGGCTCTCTTTTGTTCTTTTTTGGTTCTGGTGTTTTGTAAGACTCCATGGAAACTGAGTTGAGTTAGCAACGAATTGTGAGTTTCTGTGGATGTGTACGTAAAAGTTGCTGGTGATTTTCTGTTTTTGGTGTTATTAGGCAATCCATGAAAGCTTGATACTTCAGATTATGAACGTTGTTCTCATGAATCAGATTCTTTCTTTCTTTTCTCTATCACAAAGCTTCAAATTTTCTTTTTTTTTTTTGGTGTGTAGCTTCAAATTTTCTTTTGTTCTGTAGAAAAGTGTGATTTATCAATCTATATTTTGCTTCACTTTAGTTTTGAGAAATTTGGTTTTTGTTTTTTTTCTTTTTCGGTTAAGAAAGTAGATCTATACCGGAAATAGCAAAGTTAAGTTTGGTACGGTTCAGCCGTTTAGGTCCATCATTGGTTTTCTATAATAATAAGTTAATAACTCAAAAGTAATTGAAACGATTCAGAAAAGAAGAAGAATTATTTTTAATTTGGTTTGGGGTGGTTCGGTTCATACAAATTAAACGGATCTTTATCAAAAACCGGCGTTGGCTATTTCGGGCATAATAGCCTTTTATGTTCGTTATAGACGTAAGGATTAAAATAACATCAGAAGCACTTTGTGGCCTAATGGACAAGGCGTTGTTCTACCAAACCAGAGACTGCGGGTTCGATTCCCATGCAATTTTAATCTTCGTCTTTTGTTTTTGCGCCGAAGCTGCTTTTTCTAACTGTCAATAACATTTTCTAGACTTATATTTATTCAAACCATACAATATCAAAATATATAACTTATTTAAGATAATCATACATAGAAATCTCATGAATTTATTCTTTTTTTATTGTTCAATTATGATAACCATTTTATTTAGTACTAGATGATTACCTACGCTACGCGTGGGTTTGTTTTTAAAATTGTTAAGCGAAAATTATGTTGATTGTTTTTATTGCTAATTTATGTTTACTTTTTTATTTGTTCTTGAGAAGTTAATAAATTAAATCCTAGTTGCAATGTTTATGATTAGATTCAGTTTTGACTTAAAATATCAATTTATATATTTTCATGTATAAATTTGATTATCTATATTTCTAAGATCCTAATATTTTTTCAACATCATGAATACATACAACAATAATATAGAATTTTTTGTACAATTATATGTAATTATGTCATTTGTGTGGTTTGAAACTCGCATAACTTGATTATAAATACAACTTTTTGTTCCGTATAATCTCCTGATCTTTTACCTCAACCACATCGTGATAGACTCATTATTAAATACTGGATAGACATAAATTGAATAAGATCTCAAAATTTCAAAAGTTTTCATATGAAAATGGAAAAAGAAAGCAAAAACTAAAGTGTCATTTAAGTCAATATTTTTAGATCTTCTACCATTGCATTTAGCAGTATAAGAGAAATAGTCGTGTCTTAAATTATTTGGTATGTTACTCAAAGGTCTGTCACTTAAAAAACTTGCATGTCAATGTTACCAACTTACCATAAGATACAAAAAATAAAAAGAGAGAAAGTCATATGATAAGTCATATATGAACAACAAAACGTAATAATGAAAAAGACTCAAAGTGAAATTACTAAACTAATAAGAGGTTACGTAGCAAACAACTTACCATAAGGTTACGTAGCAAAAAACTTAATTACAAAAAAATAAACTTTCAATAATTATCGAGTGGTAATCATTGATAAAAAAAAATAGTAAAATTAGAAGAATATAATGAAAGTAGTGCTTTTATTAACATAATTATGTATTTTTTCCAATTTAGAATAAATCACTTAAGAGTATTGATGAATGAATTAATGCAATAAAGAACTTTAAATTTTTTCTCATTTAATTAGGCTAATTTTTTTTATTAAAATAATATGAAATGACACATGTCATTTTCTTATGTAATGATGTGGCACTCGAGAGTTGGCATTTTTTGAGCATTGAGGTAAAATCAATATTATAATGTTGACTTAAACCGACCAAACCGGACTAAATTTACTAAATTAGATTTCAAAATTCAAGAAAGAGAAAAGCGGGTCAACTACTTTCATAGGATTCAGACCGGGAAGACAGCTGGGTGACTTTGATTGGTGGGTGCAATTGTATTTATATCTATAAAAAAAAAAAGTTTATTTTATGTTACAATTTTAAGTTTACGCTTTGCTGCTGTTCTCTTCTCTCGAGCCCTCTCGCTGTCTCTCAGATTCCGTCGTCAAGCAAAGCAAAGCAAGCTATTTCGATCCTCCTTGTCTGACGTCGTAAGTGCTTTTCAATTTTGTTAAAAACCCAAAGTTTTTCTTTTTGTTGGGGTTTTGCCTAATAATTGAATTGTTGTTTTAGTGTGTAGATTTTAGGTACAATTTTAATTTATTGGTATGGGTCGTAGAGATTCGATCAGCAATTTACCAGATGAGATTCTCGGCAAAATCCTGTCTTTAGTTCCGACAAAAGTAGCTGCTTCGACATCGATTCTGTCCAAGAGGTGGAGGAATCTGCTGGGTCTTGTAGACAACCTTTGTTTTGATGATTCGATTGTTTTTTCGTATCCCGAAGAAGAAGAAGCAGCAACAAGTCGCTACTTAGATTTCGTAGACAAAACATGTGCTCTGTTAAGCTCTTGTCCCATGATCAAGAAACTCTCTATATGTCATGTGCTTCCTACACCTGCCCGTTACGATATCTTCTGTTTTTTGGGACGTTGTTTCAACCGTTGGATTTGGACTGCAATGGAATGCGGTTTGTTGGAACTACACTTGCACTGCAACTACATCAATGCCGGTTTCTATCTTGAGAGAGACTTATTAACGAGCAACACACTGGTGAAGCTCACAGTATCCGGTGGATATTCTATTCAAGTCGGCCGTGTGCTTTTCCCAGCGCTCAAATCACTCTCTCTCTTATCAACTGGGATTGAATATTTCGACTATTGTCGGCTCCTTGATGGCTGCCCTGTCCTGGAAGAATTATTCATAACTGATACTGATGATTCGTATCCACCGTGTTGCGGTGCGTTCGTGAATAGTGCACCCGTCAAGCGACTTGTGGTTCTTGTCAATCTTCCGGATCATCATGATATCCACGACATAACATATATCGATGCACCAAGTCTTGTGTACCTTGACTATTCTAGCTATGTCTTCGGAAATTATTCGTTTGTTGATTTTGATTTCCTTGTCGAAGCCAGGCTGAGTCTCAGGCTATGGGAGTCAACTAACGATTATGATTATTCTGATACTGATGGTGATGGTGATGATGTTGATAATGATAATGATGATCTTTATGATTATGTTGCTGACAAACCGGCTATATTTGGCGATGTTACAGATCTAGTTGCTAGTATAAGCAACATCACGACCCTTCACCTGTCTCCTGATTCCCTTGAGGTCAGCTTTTTCTACTTGTTCGTTGCTTGTTTTTTGGTCCCTTAAATATGGATTTTGGTTGTGATGATGATCCTATATAAATCAGGCGATTCATTTCTGTTGTAAATTCATGCCGGTGTTCAACAACCTCCTTAATTTATCTATCGAGAGTTACAAGGAAAAAGGTTGGCAGGTAATGCCACTTTTGCTCAAGAGTTGTCCAAATCTGCACACTTTAGTCCTCAAGGTATTATTATCAGTTTCCTTTACTGAGACTCCTTTTTGTTTGTTGTTAGTGTTTCCGAATATTATACATGTCAAATTGGTCTCCGGTTTCAGGGTCTTGTGCACAGAGTAACAAATCGATGTGGAGATGCATGCCCTTGCATCCTTGAGAAACAGAGGAAGATTGTCAAGGAGGAAGAGGAATTATGTTGTTTATGGACATGTCAAGTGAAGATTCTAGAGATTTCAGAGTATGGAGGTTCTTTTCAAGAGCTGGATCAGATGAGACATTTCTTGGGAAAGTTGGAATGTCTTGAAACTGTGAAAGTTAGTGTTGTGGACGCAGACAACAACAGCAAGCTCTTGCGAACTAATCTGCTGTCTCTCCCCAGACTTTCATCAGAATGCAACATACAATTCATCTGACATTTTGTTTTTTACATGTTAACACAGTAACTTAACATGAATGAATATGAGATTATTATATCAGTAAAGTTGGTTACAATCTCTATTTTTAAAGATAGATAATACTAAGTATGACACACAAAAAAAAAAAAAAAAAGTAGCAGTGATATATCCTAGATTACAATATCGAATATTTCGGAGTCTGCAACCATGTAGTAATCGAACCGTTCTACACAAAACTCATCTCCAGTCTGAACAAAAGATGCATGAACAGCTATCTCCAACAGAGTTTTAAAAATCTCCAGAAAGTCCAAATTCCTTCCAACCATGAGATGTGACAAACAACCGAACAGCCTCAGAAGAATGCTTCGGACCAGATGTTATTGTTCCCTGCAAAGACATCATATGCACATGCAGAAAGATCAGTAAGTATGAAAGCACAAATCCAATGCTTTAGCCAAAAAGGATAAAGAGACTAGATTTCATGTCTCTAAAGCCAGATGTTACGAAATCTGGTTAAGTTTGAAGACAACTTCATCAAGTATGAACAAAAGATATTGATCTCTAGTGCAAGCTACATACAAAATCTGCGGCAATTACAAGGTAAGCTAAACTAATATTCAACCCCGCAAAAAAAAAAAAAAAAAAAAAAAACTAGTTCTCTGCATTAGCATGATTATCCCTTTGTGATTAACTACAGTGGCATTTCAATTCATAAGCCAGTAACGTAAAGTGAAACTCTGAATTCTACCTTGGAGTAAGATGTTGCTACGTGAGATGTATCATGCGTGCTTGAAGAGCTTCATACTAAGCCAATGAAAGTAGACAGCAACCAGAAGAGCTGGTAGAGTCAGTGGAGCCAAGAAGCAGTAGTACCTGAAGAATGTTTTTATATGAAATATGAATCATGAGATGACATACACGTAACAGATTTCAAGACGATGGATATCAATATAACAAGAATGATACACAAACAAACATTAGCCCGGAACAAGAGTGTACCTGTCATTCTGAATAGCTTGGATAATGGGATTGTCAGAGAGTGGAAACAATTTGGAGACTATAGCTACAAACACAAATTCAATGAAGGAAATGGAACCAACGATCACTAAAAAGCCTCCCCAAAACTTCATTCTCAAGACCCCCAAAATTCTCAATGTTTCATTCAAGCAGTCTCTGTAACAGTCCAAGTAGCATCATGTAACTCCTTATGCCGGTAGCAGAGATAATATAGTGATTGAGAGGATCTGAATTCAGTAAAGTAAGAAGCTGAGTTAAAGTCGTTATCTGAGTATAGAGTAATCATCAATTCCCATGAAATCCTAAAATCTGGAAATTTAATTATAACAAAATTCATTATCATATTAAGCCAAAGTTTCTTACTTTCCAATAAACCCAGTTCCTTAAATGAAATTTGTTTGGATTTCTTGTAGTATTAGCTAAAACTCAAGCCTAAAATCTCCCAGATTCATAAGAAAACTACCAAAGGCATCATCGTAAATGATACGAAATCCCTAAAAACTAAAAAAGCGACGGGAACAAAACTAAACTGAGAGAGAGAATGAAGGAATGAGCACAACTTACATCGGTTGAGAGATTCCCCTGAAATAGAGCAGACAACCGAAGATCGCAAACCAAACAAAGCAGAGGGGTAGAAGAAGAAGAGACCAAACCGGCGAACCAGAGCGGCAAAACAAGCCAGCATATCAAAATCGCTAAACCATCAATTTACCCAAATCGGACTGACTGATTATCAGTCAAACCGGTTTAATCTCAAACATTTCCGAACCAGAAAACTAATGTCCTCCACAAGCGGTCTAGACGGGTTTTGGTAGGCTTCCAAAAATATAGGCATAACTTGGCCCAGTCGTATTTTCCAAAATACACAAGTTTTAGGTTTAATTAATTTTCTTTCTTTATCGGAGAAGCCCATTTGGGGTCTCACATGAGTTTTTATAATTCTAATTAAAAAAGGATTTTTCATTTTTCTAATCGCCTTATAAAAAGATTGGTGTTTCTTCTTCTTGCCTTCAAAATCAAAACTTTTTTTTTTTTTGAATAACCGCGGATCTCCCAAAGGCTTCCTAGGCCCAAGGACTAATCCCACGAGGCTGGCAATTCCCCTATGTAAACCTGCCAGTGGCCGTGCCTCGAACTCTGGTGGCGGAAGTCACAGCTGTGACCCTTTTACCACTAGGCCACAAGGCCCGGTTAAAAACAAAACTTTTATAGATATAACTAAATCAAATTATGGCCTTCTACTCAATCATGATGATATTGATTGTTTCTATTTTGTTGATATCATCTTCTTCCACGAACGTAAACCAACACTTCCGGAGTCTAATTCTTCACGAAAAAACTCATGCATCTGAATCCAACAACATCGTAGCGGCTCCCTTTCAGCTACCAGAAACGATGGAACCGATGGAAAACAAAGCTCCTTTTAACCACCGTGACGAGGTCCTTGACGCTGGAATTGACTACGCAACTTTTTTGTGATCCGTTGGCAGTGCCGGCTCAAATAGGGGCGAGCGGTGCGACGGTCAGGGGTCCAATCCCGTGCTCCAATAATTAAAGGGCCCATTTTAATTTTTTTTTTATAAAAGTATTAAAATTTTAAATTATAACATAAAAATAAAATTTAGAAGGGCCCATAAATTTTTTTATTATTGTTTTTAGTTTTAATAATTAAATTTTTAATAAAAAAATCATACAATTTTTTTATATAACACAAAGAACACAAAAAAAAAAATTCTAAGGGCCTAAAATTTTTTTTGCCCTAGGGCCTATAATATTGTTGAGCCGGCACTGTCCGTTGGGTTGGAATTTTCAGAATTATCAACAAAATCGTTGTCGTTGCAAGAACCGGAAGATCAATATATCTATTCAGGATATGTGCCCAATCATATACTGGGTTGTGACTAGGGCTGGGCCGGATCCGGATATCCGGCTTTTTTTGGGTATCCGGATCCGGCCGGATCCGCTTTTTCATTATCCGGATCCGGATCCGTTCCACCCGGATATCCGGATTTCGGATATCCGTAAAAAGAGCCGGATATCTGGATCCGGGTTTTTTTATATAATTTTTTTTAATAATATAAAATTTCAAGAAAAATATTTAAAAACAAATAATTTAATATAAATAATTAAAAATATTATTAAAAAATATTATTCTTATATAAAATAATAGAATTTATCAATAAAATTTAAATAATAGTAATAAAATATTAAAAAATATTATTATTATATAAAATATCCCGGATCCGGATATCCGGCTTTAAATTTTCTATTATCCGGATCCGGCCGGATCCGCTTTTTCATTATCCGGATCCGCATCCGCCCCACCCGGATATCCTATTTTTCGGAGCGGATCGGAGCGGATCCCGGATCCCGGATAATTGGTCTCACCCCTAGTTGTGACGCTTGTGTCCAGTTTGATTATTATTTTATCGTTCTTAAAACTTTAATGTTGCAGAAAGTGTACAATTTTAACATTATTAATTTACAAAATAATAATTATTAGATTAATAAAATGATAGTTTTTTAATATATTATATTTTCGAATTATTATTTCATTTGTTATTTTTAAAAATATATAGTAAATCATGGTGGATATTTTCTCCCAAAATCAATCGTTACAATATCTACTAAAAAATCTTTTTTTTGGCTAAAGTATTTTTTTATTGTGTTTTTAAATATTAATGATGATGTGATAGTAGTCTACATTATAAGAGCATTAGATCAAATATTTCTATTGATAATGTAACAAAATAACAAAAAAAAAAAACATTAATGTATTTAGTGAGTTTTCCTTAGGGGTGATAAATTAGCAATAAATATTCCAACATCGTAGTTTTCAGCATCTATTTCGTAATTCAATTGGTGTTAAATTAGCAAGAACTGGACGATCTCTGTTTCGTGGGGATACTCTCCTCGTATCTATGAGAAGATATTCTCACGCAGCCAATTGATGCGTCCTATCGAGACATTCCATCCTTGGCTCCGAGGATGCCTTCCAGCTTACATGTTTTAACACGAGACCAGTGTCTCGAGATTCATGTGAAGCTCCTCACTGGTTCTTCTTCGATTCATTTGAACAAGAGAATGAAAAAGTTGTTACTTCTTACACAAGGAAGTTTCCTAGAAACATTGACTTCTTGTTCCCGGCCTATCCGGTAATATATCTGCGGATACTCTCGCATGGATCCGAGTCTTCTCTCCCAAAACTCCCAAACAGGTTAGATTATTTTATTATCTCATAGATATCTCAAAACGAGTTACGACTAGTATTCAAGTTTCCCAAAAAGTATGATTTGTTCTCATATTCACATTAGGGTTTAAAATCTAATCATTATTTTTTTTTGTAGAAAGGGATGTTTTTTAGTCATAAAATATAATGATTTTGTTATATTTGAGAATTCTTAGTGTCTTTAGCAGAACTGTTATCATTGATTTTTATTTCATTACTAAAAATTTCAATTAATTGTGTTTTATTGTTCTTAGGGGATCGAGAAAAGTGGAATGTTGCGACGTGTAATATGAAGGTGCAGAAGTTGCAAACATAAGATAAGACTTAGAGATTGCAGGAGAGACGAATTCATCGCCTAATGAAATTTGGAGAGCAGCAATGTTTAGTTAATGTTGTAATTTTCATTCTTCTATATAATTAAGTTACAAGTTGTACGTTACCTTCTGAAAAAGTTATAATTACTAAGGATCTTGATGATTATTCAAGAAATAAAAAAATGATTATATAAAGCAAAACATAGTGAGCCTTTATTTTGTTTCTTCTTGGTAACGTTTGAAAGTGAAAGAAACAAGAAAGTGTGTTATCTCATATCTGAGTGAGATGGTTCAAGATTGATGTAGAAAGTTCATAAATGTATGGTAATATTGTAAATGAAATGGTTTACATGCAGTTATGCATAGAAGCAGCATGAAAATTGTTTCATCATCCCATATTTTGGCTTCTTTTTTTTTTCTTTTATCTTCTTTTTCTAAAACGAGAAAGTTTCAGTGCTTTAAAATTAATGATGATCACCTGCTAGCTTTAACATCCAAATCACATGATTTATGCACATCAGCCCTCATGATCAACATTCCCCTCTCTTTTTTTTTTTTTTCCCCTCTACATTAGTAACTTACTATTTTTCTATATGTATGGAGTCGTCAGACACATTTTCTACCAATTCATTTAGTGAAATTTGATTCTCTCAATGGCATTTAAGAACAGTAGCAACACCAAACCAACCAAATTGAGTCACATCTTTCAAAACCTATCATTATCTACCTTATGGAAATCCTTAACAGTTTCCGGTGCTCTACTTTTCTTGCTACACACATTTGCATTCAACAATCCTCATAAAATGATGACCCATAAACTCTTTGCGCCTCTTGACCTTACTTTCTCCTCCTCTTCATCATCTTCCTCGTCTTCAGTATCATTGTCCTTGCAAATTACAAGAGAGTCTCCTACAAATATCAGCCATCTATTTTTTGTCATTGTTGGTAGTACAAAGACTTGGAGATATAGGAGAGGCTACATAGAGCCTTGGTGGAGACCAAACATCACAAAAGGATATGTTTTCCTCGAAAGACCACCTGGCCGTGATCTCTTGCCTTGGCCTAACCAATCTCCTCCCTTTTCTGTCAACAAAGAATCATTCATCACAAACAAATTCAAGACTCAGATCCGCCTTTTTTATTCGCTTCTTGAGTCTTTTAAGAAGGCTTCCAAAGAGACAAGATGGTTTGTGATAGCAGATGATGATACTCTCTTCTTCTTGGACAATTTGGTCAAAGCTCTTGACAGGTATGACCACAAGAAGCACTATTACATCGGAATGAACTCGGAAAACGTTTGGTCCAACGCGATTTTCGCTTTCGACATGGGATATGGAGGCGGCGGATACGCATTGAGCTATCCAACCGTAGTAACACTTCTCAGCAACATGGAAGAATGTATCAAAAGATACCTTGGAGTTTACAGCGATCTTCTCTCATTTCGTTGCTTGGCCGACTTGGGAATTGATCTTACTTTAGAGAAAGGAATGCACCAGGTAGGGTTGTTCAATCCAAATTTTTCAAAAATTTTAGTATTTTACAAGTTTTTGGTATTTAAATTAATAGTAACCAAATATATAATATGGATAGGTTTAGTGTGAACAAGAAAGTGGTTCCTTTTTTTTTCAAGAAGGAAAGTGATTCTTGCGTCTCACTACTATCATACTCTCACTCTGTCTTCCTTGTGGTGTATATTACCAGATTGATCTACACGGTGACATATCAGGTCTCTTATCAGCTCATCCACAGTCTCCTCTTATCAGCCTTCACCATTTCGATGTCATAGACCCGATTTTTCCAGGCATGACCCGCCAGCAATCCGTGAACCACCTCATGAAAACGGATCAATCCCGTGTCTTGCAACAAACAATATGTTACCAAAGAGAATATAACTGGTCAGTCTCTGTCTCTTGGGGCTACTCAGTCCACATTTACCAATCTATATTCCCAAGAAACCACCTAAAACGCCCTCTCGAAACATTCCGACCATGGAAAAATGTTAAAATACCGGCGTATACATTTAACACTAGACGGGTCACGAAGGATCCTTGCGAAATGCCTCGTCAGTTTTTCTTTGAGTCGGTTGTGGAGGACAAGAACCAAAGCTTAGTAACTACCATGTACAAGATAAAAATAGAAAGGAGATTGCCTCCTTGTTTGCTAAATGGCAGCCATTCTTCTCGTAACATTACACAAGTCCGAGTCATTGCTACTACTATGCACAAGATGGTAACCACTATACCCTCTAAAATCTTTTAATCAAATTATAATCAATTTCTATATAATCTGAAATCAACTTCAAATATGGAAACAGGGCGAAGGAATCGAATGTTGCGATGTGCAATATGTTAACAGTACGGAGATTATGGAAGTGAAGATAAGAGCTTGTCATGAAGATGAAGTTCTTGCTTAGGCTATGTCGTCTTATGATACATGGAATTATCTACTACTATCGATGTGGCATTCTTTTTCATTTGTATAACAATAGAATGTCATATGCTGTATAACTTCTAGTTGCAGCCAGAATAGATAGTTGGGAAAATCAATTCCCAAATCGGGGGAATCAAGAGGTTTCAAACCCCAAATGCATAGTCTTTATGTGGTTTGTGAAAATAGCCTTAGTTTGCATTGAAAAATCGACTAATTTTCTAGAAATAGGACCAGAATAGAACAATCAAACGGCCCCAATATCAGAAACAATCGTATGAAGAAAAAGTAGTTTGCGTATACATAAGTCGAAAGACCATGTCAGAAACGGGCACATCCGGTTCTGCTTCTTTAATGAGATTTCTGGATACCGATGAGGCGGGCATAATCCACCCATCTGCGACACCAACAGAAGGAATATGTGAATCAAAACTGCTGAGAACAGAGAGTAAGAACAATGTTTAGGTGATTTTGAAACAACTTACAATAAGGAACCCAAGAATGTGTTGCCTGTTCTAACTGCGAAACACAACGCACTCAGTGCAAGTTTGTGTTGGTGTAGCATTGGCTCCAGGAGACGTTGTTCAATTACACCCGCCACTATTTGGTACCTGTTCATTTCAAAACACATCTCTTTACATTATCCAATCTAAATGGTACAGTGTGCTACTCGGGTTTGTTTGTCTAAGCTTTTTTTTTTTTTCCTTTTCGACTTCTTTAGTAAAGTTTGGTAGAAAGAAACTCAGTACCTTAGGTTGCTAGAAACTGCCATATAGACACCATATGCAACACTTGTGGAGACGATCGGAACAGTTTCCACTTCACTTTCAGAAGTCTGGTCTACAGCTCGTCGTGCTTTTATGAATGCATTTGTAATAGCAGTACCAACCTAACCAAGTTTACAGATTCGTCAAGTCAAAAGAATGTAGAAACGAAATGTGAAGGAATTTATGGAAAGATTGGAGTTTCCTTTTTCAAGTAGATATGTTTCGACTCACCAGCGATGATGTGGTGCCAACGGCAAACAGCTTAGCTCCATTGCGCTGCATAACATATACAAACAATATATGTTATCCAGAAATTAGCAGTCCTTAAAACCAACTATCGAGTGGTATACTATTAAGATCACATAGGAAGAAGTTGATATAAACCACACACCGTTATAGCACCTAGCCTTTGCAAGAGAGTATATGAGGTTCCGGAGAGAGCAACCTGCAGCAAACACATAGGATAATTTGATGAGAACAAGCTTTTGTAAACTTATCATGCATGTGCAAAACAATTCTTTTACATAGAATTATACCTGGAAGGCATTGTCTGGGCAGTTGTGGAAAAACTTGGATATACCTCCAGCAGTAAGTGCAAGAGGTGGTCGAAGAGAAACGGTAGGAGCAGGAAGATAAACTAACATGAAATCAGCAATAATAGCCATCGCCTAATAAAGAGAAAAAAAAAGAAGTAGAACAGTGCATCAGCTTAAATCTAATATCATTCAGCAGAACTTTGTCTTACAAAGCAGCAAAAGGGTGACCCTTTACTTTTATTTTTCTCCAAATTTGCTATCGAACAGTTCAAATATTGGTTCTTACCTCAGAGACAAAGCAAATCTCAACTACTCTCATAGACATGCAAAAAACTTACGGTGAAAATTTGCAGACCCCATCACAACCACAAACTACCCTTAACCTTTCGTCTACCCGAATGGGTCACCTAAAAGATTTTTGTTCTCAATTTTCTCAACCTTCCCTACCATCTAACAAATTCACAATTTCTCATAGTAAGTTCCTGCGATCTGACAGAAACACTTAAGAAAAATTCGCCACAGGAAAAAAGTCAGCGAGAAGAATGATTACCACATCGGCAAAGACAACTTCAAGTTCATTGAAGAAGTTTTCTCTACGCCGTTCATACTCAGCAGCAGTCTGCAACATAAGAAGTAACACATAATGATAAATACCAGCTTTTAAGGATTAACAGATTTGCTCTGTTAGCATTTCAGAGAGAACAAGGTGCATAATTTGTTAAGCAGACAATTCATTCACGGATTAAAATCAAAATCAAAAAAACATTATCCTGATGAATTCTCTAGAAACCACACAAAGAAGGAAACCAAAAATCCAAAGTTGCTATCAAGTGAATAAGAGAAAAGAGAGACCTTGGTGAAGATTCCGACACCACATTCCATGGCGAGTTTAGCCATGAAGAGATCATCAGCCAACAATCTTTCCCTAAACCCACCAAACTGCATCAGCCAACGCATCACAGCCGATTTCTGAAGCTCCAGGAACCGAGTGATAACCGATCCAGGAATCCGACCCGACTCAATAGCAGCCGCTAGATCCTTGGGAAGACTCTCCAATCCAGTCCCAGACTCCTTCAACAAAAGCATCGCCTCGTTCCTGTTCCTATCCCTGTCCTCGTCACCGTGCCCATCTCCATCATTTTTGCCTCCATCGCCACCACCACCACCACCAAGACCTCCTCCGTTGTTATCAGAGCCGCCGTTATCAATCGAAGCGGATAAAACAGGGGTAATAGGAACGCGGCGGTTAAAAGAGATGGACTTTGCAGAGATTACACCGTTAAAAGAGGAAGAGGAAGAGAGTCTAGGAAACGAAGCAAGGTGAGGCCATGTGAGATTGGATTCAGAGATAGATGTGTTGGGTGTTGGAACACAGAAGAAGCAGGAAGCGATAGCCATTGATGCTACAGAGAGAAAGAGAGAAACAAAAAATAGAGAGAGATCTCTGAAAGTCGTATGGTTCAGTAGTCTCTCTCTGTAGGTTAAGCGGTCGATTGAGAGCAGTGGAGAGTCAGCGAAAAGGAAGATTCTTTCTTTCAGTAGTATTTTTAAGGGTTTTGTTATTTTGGTGGGCCTCACGATAGATTCCAACCGGCGCGTGCTATTCACGGTGCCTCTTATACCAGCTTATAAATAAAATGTTTACAATCACAAACTCATATCTTTGGAATCTCAGAAACTTGTTTGACATCATCATCAATCACATCGCTGTCCATGGAAAAACTTTTCAAACATATTGAAAGCCCTAAAAAAAACCTACGACCACGACCAATCTTTCTATCATTACCGTGTTAAATGCTTATAGAACATAATAGTTATGTCTTTTTGACAATGTCTCATCAAATACTGATGCTTCTTTGAAAAAAAATCCAGACTTTTTCTCTCGCTTCTTAGGTCTCGCCTTCTAATTGCAATGAACCATCTCTCATTAACTTGAGGCTCAAACTGTTGAATCTTTCCCGAGAATACTGCCTTGATGCTTTTCTCCAATCTGTCCCAGCTTTCATCATCGCAACAAACTCTTCATAGCTTATTCGTCCGTCCTGATCACACGAAACAAAGATATGTTCTTTAACTGGGTGGACAGTTCAAGAATGTAGAATACTTAAATGCCCTTTTGAAAAGATTCACAAGTATATGTGTTTTAACCAAATGGGTTCATGAAATGTGAAAAGATGTTATCTTTCTTTATTTTTTTTGTGGTTTTACCTTGTCGGTATCAACATCTTGCATGATGGCTGCGATTACTTCCTCACTACTAGTATTATCCAATTCATCATTCAAGGCTTCACGAAGTTCTTCAATCTCTATGTAACCACTCTGGTTCTGATCAAAGAAGTTAAAAGCTTTATGCAAGTGTTCATCATTCGCCATCTTCTTAAGGTGGACCGAAACCGCAACAAACTCGCTATAGTTCAGTGTCCCATCCCCATCAACATCAGTCTGCACGAAAAAATAAAAACTTGTTTTAATTTTCAGAAGTGATATAGCACTTGTTTCGAGCTTATCGCTTTGAAATGAAAGATTCATACAGCTTCCATAAGAATTTGAAGATCAGCATCGGCGATCTGTTGTCCAGCTTTTTGAAGTCCATATTTAAGCTCCTCGAGATTTATCTTGCCTCTCTTGTTTACGTCCATCATTTCAAATGCTTCCTTTATCCCTGCTGCTTCCTCCACTGACAAGTGTTCAGCTATCACCTAGAAGAGGAAACATTACATTTTCATTTTTGCTTCTGTGTCAGATTGGAAGTAAATCGACAATCAGTAACAAGGTTAACAGAATCAATACTCGTAGAGCTCGTTTCTTGAGCTTGTTCATAACAGAAAACTGCTTGAGCCTTGCTTTCACAGTCTCTCCAAGAGAGACATTTGGAGCCTTCTTTGCATTCAGTATCCAAGTATGTTCTGCAAATTGAACATTTCTTTATGAATTTTTTAAGATTTCAGAAAACTCAGCCTTGCTAAAAACAGAAGCCTACCGAGCACTTGTGCAGCAGTAAGCCGTTTTTTTGGATCAGGTTCAAGCATCTTTCTCACAAGGTCTTTGGCGCTGTCAGAAACTCTCGGCCATGGATCTCTCTTAAAGTCAATTACTGACCTAATGATCGCTTGAGCCACCCCTTGTTCAGTCTCTGTACCCAAAAGAAAGATAAAAACGTCTGAAAGAGGTCTTAAAGTGAATAATCCAGAGGAAACAAAGAGAATACGGTAAAGCATAAACAAACCAGCCCAAAATGGCGGGACACCACAAAGTAGGATGTAGAGGATGACTCCAGCGCTCCAGACGTCGATCTCAGGTCCATAGTTTCGCCGCAGCACCTCGGGTGCCATGTAATAAGGACTTCCAACAATCTCATTAAACTGCTCACCTGTAACAGTTAAGCAAAATCAGCTTAAGTAAAGATACACCAATAAATTGATACTCGTCAAAAGGTGATGTTATAAATGTACCAGGTTTGAAGAATACAGACAATCCAAAATCAATGGCCTTAAGGGGTGATGTCTCTTTCTTATTTGCAAAAAGAAAGTTCTCTGGTTTAAGATCCCGATGCATCACTCCCTGCTTATGGCATATCTGTAAAGACAAACCAGCGATGTGTGAACAAAAATAATGAGGGACTTAAGACATTGTAAACAGAGCTATATATGGAACCTGAACAACTTCAACAATAGTCTTCATAACCGCAGCAGCAGCTCGCTCAGTGTAATGACCTCTTGCAACAATCCGATCAAACAGTTCCCCTCCTTCACACAACTCCATAACTATATGCACCGCATCATCATCCTCAAAGGCATCCTTCAAAGAGACGACATTTGGGTGTTTAGGCATATGCTTCATAATCTCAACCTCCCTCCTAACATCCTCTATATCAACTGCTGTTCTCAGCTTCTTCTTCGATATGGACTTACAGGCATACTTTTCACCTGTTTCCTTATCAGTACACAAGTAAGTAATACCAAACTCGCCTCTACCAACCTCACGTCCCAGATCATACTGCAAGGATATATCATGTCCTGTAGGATCTTTCAGCACAGAGAGCTTAAAGCCAGCTCCAGATCTATCAGTTGCAGTGTATTCATTGCTGTAAAAAGGATTGTTTTTGTTCCTGGGTTTCCCTTGTTTACTCTCGTTCGTAGCCGAACCCGGACTGCCACAACAATTCCCCATCTAATCAAATCTCAAGATTCCTGCAAAACCCAGAAAGTTCAAAACTTTGAGCACAGTTATTCAAGGTTCCATTAGTTTCTTAAGCCAAGAACTATTTCTAATTAACAACATATCCGAAATCAAACAGAACCCTAATATATATACTCAAACAACAGATTAGTAAACCCTAGCTAAGATCAAAGGCAAAGGGAAAAGGGGAAAACACAGACCTCAGAACGTAAAATGGGGACAAACATTTAAATGGGTAATAATCAGTTTGAAGCAAAAAGAGATATGTAGCTAAAAGGATATATTAAAGGGAAAAATCATCATACGGTGTGAGAAAAAATAGATGCAGTGATAGAGAGAGAAGAAGAGAGGAAGAAGACGAGTCAAAGTCTTCCTCTTTCTCTCTCTTCTTCAAATGACAAACACACAAATTGACTCTCTTCTCTTCTTCTTCTTCTTGCTTGCGAATGGATTCAAAGAACGACCACTCCTAATTTTTTATGTGTTTCCATATTCTTTTTCATATACTCTTCGTGTTTTTTTTTTTTGTTGATATAAATAATCAATCTGCCCGTTGCTGCTGATTAAACAAATTATTTTGTTTCACTGTCCTTTTCAAAACTGGTTTGTATGCAAATTTCCATGACCAAAATATGCAACTTATTGCAAGGTGTTTTATGCTTGTTATCTTTAACAAAATACCAAAAATTTTACTTTTTCCCAAGAACACATTTGTAATAGGTTTCTTCTACTTTCTAAGCAATCTCCTTCGGTCAAATAATATTTAAGTTGGCGAAAAACAGAAAATTTGAGAACAAATCTGAAGCATGGCTATGGGTCAGCAACGATTAAACAAACGTATTTTCCAATTTTTCATAAGAAAAAAAACAGGTAAAAGAATAAAAACAAGACCTACTAACTATTCCCCTGTCTTTTGCCTCCAAATCTAACACCTAACATCACTCGCTCTTTGTACATTCATAACTGTAAAACCCACACAATATGAGAGACTGACAAAAACAACTAGAAAACACAAAACCGAAAAAGCCAAGAATGATTTGCCGGTTTGGGGCAATGGATATATTAGCCAAAGTGTGTCTCTCTCTCCACTCTCAGAGCTTTGACTTTTTATTATGGTGCACCCGCCGAATTCAGGGTCTCATTAGAGTCTGTCTCAACTTGTTCAGAGCCTGATGAGTTCGTTGCTGAACCCCTTTCTCTCCCTCCTGCATCCTCTCCTGCTTCCACCTCACTTTTCTTCGCAAACCGGCCTCCACTAGCTCTTGCCCTTCTCATCGCATGCTTGTGTCTTGACTCGTGAAGATATGGCTGTCGCATTTCAAACATAGTCAATAAAAGTTTACCAAGCTACACACCAAACTTACAATTCTTAATGCTCATTTCCAATCCTTCACACAGAATGGGTCCAGTTGGGTTTTACAATGTTGACCTTCACTTTTTAGATGACTCTACACCATCCTTACTGTTTTGTTCCCCCAATTACCAATCTAATACAACTTTGATAAATGAGAAAAAATACCTTTCTGTCCCTGATGACTTTCCTTTCTAGCTCTGCCTTGGCACGTGCTTTTCTTCGCCTTAGAATTCCCTCGTACTGTTTTGCATTCACATAAACGGGCTCTTGTGTCATGTCAAGTGGCAGAGCTGTTCTTTCACGAGGCATTCCAAGATATGGACGAAAACCCTGTTTACACCAACGAACAAAATAAATTCAACAAATAGACTCAGATCATCGAAAACTTTACATATACCTTATAAGACCCCAAGAATCCCCAAGAGTTGTTCTCGATTATTTCAGATATGAACTTTGGATTCTCAGTTATTTCAGACATGAACTTTAAAAGCATATCACTGACTATTCATGAACCCAGACTCATTACTAACAGCAAATAAAATCACCACAAAGGGTACTTAGTGGCAAAAGCGTACATACATCAAATTAACACTGCACCATATGGAACTATTGTAGAGATTGAAAGAGGTTTCAACAAGATACCAATGGCTGATGACCATATGCTCCCATCATTCCGCCATAATATGGATCCTGATATGGATTTGGGACACAAGCCTGGAATGAAGTTTTGAGTTTTTATCAACATATGAAGGGCGTTATACAAGATAAATCCTTTTAAGGGACCAATAAGAAGTCAATTTAACAACGCAAGAACTGAAACAGCATATATATTTAAGGAATGAGAGGAAACCACATACGATATAATGTCCAACAAGCTCTGGTGGTTGTACAAGTTGCTGATCATGCATATTACGAATAGAAAGCGCCGGGTCATTCCCTTCCATTCCATGATTATCTACTGAAATTGAAGAGAAACACCATTACAGACAAAATAAATAAATCAAAATGGCACACTTTAACGACACAGAATCTCCTTTGCGTGGATAGATATATAAAACGCTACAATTACAATGCAAGTATATCTCAGGGACCAGATTTCATAACTTCATGACTTTGACATGCCCAGTGGCCAAAATCACCCAAATGCCCTTTTAATCTTCCTGCCTGCTTGAGGAACCATTTTTCACCAAATTGCAGATATAGGTATTGAGAACGACATCACTTAGTAACCATTTAACAAGTTACAGAAATCCATAAACATCGAAAGTGATCCCTAGATCATGCAGTATTGTTGTTATGCAGCAACACAATACTGCAGAGATGATGATAATTACAGTAAACCAAGTAGGCCTAAGACCAAGAACTCAAACCTGAACGAGAGGAAGTTGCAGCTTGTGAATCCTTCCAAGTGCCGTCATTTTCACCATTCAACGCACCATCTTCAGATGCTGAATGAACATCGTTTGATTCGGAACCATTCGGGCAATCCAAAGAAGAGGAATTTGATGGAATTCCAGAAGGTCTCGCTTGAGGAACTACACCAAAGGTGTTGATTTTCCACCAGGGATCTGCTGGATACATCATCGGCTGCTGAACAGCATGGTGATTGACTTCCTCTTCGTTTTCTCTTCCTGGTTTCGATTGCATCTCTTCAAAGAATTAGGTCAACACATGTTTAGTAACCAATTCAAAATCCAATCAAGAACAAAATTCACACACTTCAACTACAAAAAGAGCAATTTTAGGGCTATCAAGCAATGCAGAAGCATGCAAACAAGAGGTGAAAACGCCTACATGCCTCGAATTTACACTTCAAACCTACATAAGTTCATAAGATTCAAGCGATTATTTAGCCACCTGAATCAATTTTTAAATCCCTTCACGATTTCCAGCAAACAGAATTCAAAGATAGAAAAAAAAAATCAGCATACCAGTGGAAAATTCACAGCTGGCTGAGCACTCTTGCAATCGCCTTCAAAGAAGATAACTTCTTTAAAAAATCAAAACCCTGAAGTGAATTCAATCGATCACGATTTTACAGAGTTCAGAGAACAAAATTTGACTTGAGCAAAAAAAATCAGAATCGAACAAAACCAGAGAAGAAGTCGGTGAAAGAGAAGCGATTCGGAACACCCGACAGCCGGCAGGAATGGAGAATTTCGTAGAAGAAAAGTGAAATTGGCGAGAAGAAAACCCTAGATTTTGGGGATTTTTTCTGTTTCCAGAATTGTATTTTGTGTGTGTTTTTTTGTTTTTTATATAAATCGAAATAGAGTAAGTTATATGATGATGAATTTTATCGGTCTGGGAACACAAAAGACCGAGATTTGATAAGATCACCTTCGAAAGTGAAAAACTTTTTGCCACGTGGCGCTCTGTTAAAGATGCCAGCGCGCGCAGATCTGGGATCTTCTCCGGCTGACGTTATCATAGGTTCATTTTCTATTTTTTATTTTTTCTTTATATAGAAAGAAATTAAATTTTTAAAAACAGGAGAAATTTGGGTCCAAGTGACACGCAAGTGATGGGCTGGGACGAGGGACACCTGTATAATATAGGGACCCCATTGCCATAATAGTTTTATTTTCTGGATTTTAAAAAAAAAATATTAAGAGTTTTGTTCTTTTTCTTTGGCAAAATAATTTTTTTTAAATAACTTTCATGAATAATATTAAACTTGTACAACTGAAAATATATATATTTTTTACAAATTATTCTCGCAAAAAGTATGAAAATTTAATTTAAAAAACATGAATTGTTCGATGGTTATATACTTATATATATTTGAGTGTAATTAGTTGTGTGGTACAAATTTGGATTATTTTTATATATTTTTAAAAAATTAAAAGCATATTGAATCATTGTTTAGTAATTTGTGTGTAGTGATTGTTATTGTGGTTCGTGGAGCTTCAAACTATAGTCAACACTCATCGTAGCAATGTTGATATTTGTGTACCTTCAACTTTCATTGTGAAATGAATATTTAATATTTATCAAAAAAAAAAAAACAATGTTGATATCAGCATCATTGATTATGTCTAGTTAGGGCGTAACACATATAGTTTCATCAAAATAATTATATTTCTCTGTGAAATCATAAGTGTTTTTTTTAGACCGAAATTAATCAATCGGTCAAGAATGGAAAAAGGATATACAAATGAAAAATGACAAACCATAATAGCTAGTTAATGAGAAATATAATCATACTTCATATTGATGAAATGGCTAAGTCATTTGAAAAAATGGAAATATATAATGACACGGTCATTGCATCTATTTGAAGTATGATTATACTGATTAAACCGCTTTCATGTTTGGTTTTGTTCTACAAACATTGGCAAACACTTAATTTATAGTCATTAAAAATCTAATTAACATGCAGTTCATACAACCAATGAACCAAGTAAGTTTTGAACTCATTTAATTACCAAAAAAGAAAGTAAGTTTTGAACTAGTAGCAAGTTCTCGAACCCTTTTAATTGGATTTCATCTAAAAGAGAAAGAAACAAATGTTTTTAGATGTATGGACTTTAATTTGTTGACTCAAAATTTCTCGATTAATTTTTAAAAGACATACAACGGATTTATGGAACCTTACTTTTCAACATGTGATCCGAGATAGGAAAGACATAAACTAAACAAAGTTTTGTCGTCGCGATACTCATGATTACTATTCCGGCTTTGTGGGAAACATCAAACGTTACTCCGCACATTCATATATATGGTGCTGACATGCAATTCGTTTAGATTCTATATTACATACAAGTATATAACAAATCATACGTGCATACTGACCTCAAACAGCTTATTTTTCATACATATGATAATTATCCAAAACATATGTCGATTTATATATAGTCTCTCTCTTTTTTCTTTTTCTTTTTTTAAATAGGGATCTCACAATGTATAAACACCAATCCTAACATACAATTCAACGAGTACAAAATGAAATATTGATAAGACAATTTAACGAAATCGTGATGAGATCTTTGATGTGCTTGAGGATTCTTTTTCATCTATACAAGAATATTTCCAAATTTATTTTTGGGATGTTAACTTTTCTGCAAACCCCACTTATTTATGGCATTTGAAACCGAAGTCATAGCTTATGGGTGGAGTCGACTGTCGAGCCACTAGCCAAAGAATTTTAATATTTTATTCTCAATTTTTAAATATAGAAAACAAACAAAAAAAAAAAAGACCTGCAAATTGACCACCGTCTAAAGAGTCACTCAAAGTCCGCTCCTCAAATCCAACGGCTGTGATTTAAAGAATCAGATTCTTTTATTTATTTTATTAACGTGGATTTGAAACCTATATTCCAAAACGCTTAAATATATCCCCACGCGCCCGCCACCTTCTACCGCTTTATCCCGTCACATACGCTGCAGAGCTCTTTAACCTCCTCACACTATCTCTCACCACTTCTTCCGGTCACACCAGTTACCCTCTCATCCGTTTTCGTTTTTTTTTTTCCTCTCTTTCAAACAAGAACAAAAATCTCTCAGCTGAGGTGATCGATCTTCTTCTCACTCTTTAGATTTGTTCTTTTTTTTTTGCATTTTACACTTTTGGATCTGAAAATGTGGTTCTCTGTTTCGGCCATTACCGATTAGTTTCAGTTCTGTTCTTCTTTCTACCGATCGCTTGCGATCTTTCGTATTGGGTAAGCTTTGTGGATTAGATTTGTTGAAAATCTTCACTTTTAATTGATTCTTTTGATTTAGCTTATGCTCAATCTAAAATATTTTAGTGGGTGATTGAGATTTTAAGTCATTTAGTTTTGGTTTCGTGGAAGTTTTGAGATTTCGATTGTGGTTGACTGTTCATTGACTTCTCCTTCTTCTTCTTCTCGCTTTTATTGTCAAAAGTTTTAATTTTTAATTAATATGGGTTTTAAGGTTAGTTGGTATATTGAATCGTCTCTTCTTAAAGTTGTTTATCTGATTTGGTTGGTAAGAAAATTTTGTGTGTAGAAGAATGTTTGATGAAGAAGATGTTTAGCTCAACTATACTGAATGAATCTGATGCTTGTTAGATTTGGATTTCTTCTTCTGGGTAAAATTAGTTTCAGAAAATTTTATTAGATCCGTTTGTGACGGTTTTTAATCTTTGAGTCTTCTTTTGGTAAATCTTCTGACTTTGTTTCCTTATTTTTTGGTCAATTTTTTTTTAAATTTTTTTATTATTATCAATTCAATAGTTTTCCTTAATTGCAGATTTTGATTGACCAATATTTTATGCTTCTTCTATATTGCAGTCATACGTTATTGGTTGATTTCAATAGCCAAGTAACGTTTTTCTCTTTTGGTTGATTGTTTCAGATCTTTTTTCATCTCCAGTTCCGTGAAGGATGTGTGGTCTTGCTAAGAAGGTGGATACAGATAATACTTTGACATCACTTTCAGACCAAGAGAATGAATCTTTGGCCAAATCCATGAATGATGTTGCTGAGTGGGAACATTCGTTTTCTGCCTTGCTTGAGTTTGCTGCTGACAACGATGTGGATGGGTTTAAGCGGCAACTCTCTCTTGTGTCTTGTATCAACCAGATGGGTCTTTGGTACAGACGCCAGAGGTTTGTTAGAAGAATGGTTGTTGAGCAAAGAACCCCCCTCATGGTTGCTTCGATATATGGGAGTTTAGATGTTGTGAAGTTTATTCTATCTTTCCCTGAAGCGGAGTTGAATCTGTCTTGTGGTCCAGATAAAAGTACTGCTCTTCATTGCGCTGCTTCTGGTGCTTCTGTGAATGCCTTGGATGTTGTCAAGTTGCTTTTGAGTGCTGGAGCAGATCCTAATATCCCTGATGCTCATGGGAATCGTCCTGTTGATGTTCTTGTTGTGTCTCCACACGCTCCTGGTTTGAGAACCATCCTTGAAGAGATCTTGAAGAAAGACGAGATTATATCTGAAGATCTGCATGCGTCTTCATCTAGCTTGGGATCAAGTTTCCGGTCTCTCTCGTCATCACCAGATAATGGCTCCTCGTTGCTCTCTTTAGATTCAGTATCCTCTCCGACTAAGCCAAACGGTACTGATGTGACTTTCGCATCAGAGAAAAAAGAGTACCCAATTGATCCATCATTGCCCGACATCAAAAGTGGGATTTATTCCACAGATGAGTTTCGTATGTTCTCGTTTAAGATCCGCCCATGTTCTCGAGCTTATTCCCATGACTGGACCGAATGTCCATTTGCACACCCAGGTGAGAATGCTAGGAGAAGAGACCCGAGGAAGTTTCACTATACCTGTGTTCCATGCCCGGATTTTAAGAAGGGATCCTGTAAACAAGGTGATATGTGTGAATATGCTCATGGAGTGTTTGAATGCTGGCTACACCCTGCTCAATACAGAACACGATTGTGCAAGGATGGGATTGGCTGCAACCGAAGGGTTTGCTTCTTTGCTCACGCAAATGAAGAGTTGCGTCCTTTGTATCCTTCCACTGGATCCGGATTGCCATCTCCTCGGGCTTCTTCTGCTGTTTCTGCCTCTACTATGGACATGGCGTCAGTTTTGAACATGTTACCAGGCTCACCATCTGCTGCTCAACATTCGTTCACCCCACCGATATCTCCTTCTGGAAATGGTAGTATGCCCCATTCATCGATGGGTTGGGCTCAACAGAACATACCGGCGTTGAATCTTCCTGGAAGCAATATCCAGTTGAGTCGTCTGAGATCTTCTCTCAACGCTAGAGATATTCCTTCTGAGCAGCTTAGCATGCTGCATGAGTTTGAAATGCAACGTCAGCTTGCTGGAGATATGCACAGTCCACGCTTTATGAATCATTCCGCTCGTCCCAAGACACTGACCCCTTCGAATCTGGAGGAACTGTTCTCAGCTGAGGTTGCATCTCCTCGTTTCTCTGATCAACTTGCTGTCTCATCTGTTCTATCGCCTTCCCACAAATCCGCACTTCTTAATCAGCTGCAGAATAATAAGCAGAGCATGCTTTCTCCTATTAAGACAAATCTAATGTCTTCTCCAAAGAATGTGGAGCAACATTCTCTTCTGCAACAAGCCTCGTCACCTCGAGCCGGGGAGCCTATTTCCCCAATGAACGCTCGAATGAAACAGCAGCTACATTCACGTAGCCTCAGCTCCCGTGATTTTGGATCCAGTCTGCCCCGTGATTTAATGCCGACTGATTCTGGTTCGCCACTAAGTCCATGGTCAAGTTGGGACCAGACCCATGGAAGCAAGGTGGATTGGTCAGTCCAATCAGATGAGTTGGGTCGGTTGAGAAAATCTCATTCCTTGGCTAATAACCCAAACAGGGAAGCAGATGTTTCATGGGCTCAGCAGATGTTAAAAGACTCTGCATCACCTAGGAACGGGAACCGAGTCGTGAACATGAACGGTGCAAGGCCATTGACTCAAGGTGGTTCGAGTGTGAATCCTCACCACAGTGACACTCGTGAGAGCGACATTCTCGATGCGTGGCTTGAGCAGCTGCAGCTAGATCGCTGAGCCTCAGGGGAGAGAGAGGTTCACATTTCTGTGAAGCTGTGAAACTGATGATTCGTTTATTTTATTATTCAAGAAAGCAAACGGAACAAATTCCGGGTAAGCGCTTTTTCGATTCTAATAACCCTAAAAGGCTCAGTTTTTTCAGGCTTCTTTCTGAAATTTCTTTACTTTCTTATTTTTATCACCTCATTAATTTAATTATTGTATCTCTGTTGTAACAATGGCCAAAGTGTTCCTCTTTGCCTCTATTACTTCCCGTATTTCTGATTTACATTTTTTGTATTCTCTCAGTTTGTCAATTGTTTCTAATATCTCTTTCATATTTGTCAAAGAACATTGTATGAGAAATAATAATAACATATTGTTTCAGCTAATAAGATTCATTCATTTCCTTTTGCCTTCTCTGTTTTCCTGTCTTTTTCATTATAAACTTTAACCAGCGATTTAAAGGTTTATCCTAACCACTTCATAGACTAATTGACATCAATTTCTCAAGGGTTAGTGGCGCAACTAACACGTTTATGGATGTCGAAGTTAAGTAACTATCAACTATCGAGTAAAGTGGTGGTCTCACTTTGAACAAAAAAGTCAAGTTAGAAATCAAACAAAATTGATGCAAGTTAAGATTTGCTTACACCTCAAAATATGTGTGAGAGTGAGAATAAAAATTGCAGAAAAACTCTGCTCAATCCTTAAAACCCTGATTTTAATCCTTCTCAAATCTGAATCTCAAAGCCGTTCTAAGAGATTATATATATAAGGAAAAGAATGGGAATACTGGTGTATTGTGGTCCTCACCACAAACCAATGAACTTCCACCAGGCACCACCTACACCAAGCCAGATAAGAATGTTGACTATTGAAATCAGGAATCCATAGCCCCACCATTTAGCCAGCGGCACATAGTTAGCCCCGTAGAAGATAGGCGCAGATCCGATACCATAATGAGTCAATCCTCCCATCAGGTTGGATAAGAACGCAAGGACTAAGGCTGCAAAGTAAGGTGGAGTGCCTAGAGCGGTTGAGACCGACAAAAAGGCAGTGAACATAGCTCCAATGTGGGCGGCTCCACTGGCAAAGAAGTAGTGAGTGTAGAAATACAAGAGGACGAGGATTCCAAACGATAGCTGCCATGACAAACCCAATCCTCCCACAAACTGCAAACAAAACCCAAACATTTTATTAGCAACTGCTAAGTCATCAGGCTTATTAAGCATTCATCAAAATCATTTAATAAACCTTGACTACGGTCTGGCTGAACCACTCAATGAGACCATATTTGTTAAGATAACCAGCCATCGCAATGAGAGCAGCGAACCAGGTGAGTGTGTCCCATGCGACCGACTCAGCTAAGCACTCTTTCCATGTCACAACACCTGTCACAAGGAGGACTGATAATCCAAGAATGGCTGCAGTCACAGCATCTACACTCAACTTAGCTCCAAAAATCCAGAGACCAACCTGTGTCAAGGATAAAACTTCTTCAGAAAAGGAAAATCTTGTGTCTCATAAAACACTAAAACAGATTATTTCACTCAAAGCAAATGCATTAATGAGAAGCAGAGCCCTTGCTTTAATCTAAGGAGAACAATAGCTAAAGTGTCTCCATGTTCATTACTGAAGCACCTTTCAAATCAAGCTCTCGCTATAAGTAATTCCAAGTAGATTTGCAGTGATAGCGTATAGTGTCATATGTTGAAAAAGCAAACCCAAAGAAGTATTAGACAAACATAAGAAGAGAGCTGATGAAGCAGAAGCACACATACCGTGAGGAACAAAGTGGCGGCCATAATCAACTCGTTCTTAGACATAGGTCCCATCTTGTCAAGCTTTTCCTGAGCCAGCTTGGGAGCATCAGGACTGCTCTTCACCGTAGGAGGATAGATAAGATACAAAAGAAACGGAACAACAATCAACGACACAAGTCCTGGTACAATCGCAGCTTTAGCCCAATCAGTCCATCCAATCGTCTGCTTGATCGTGTTAAACGCCAGATTAGCACTCAAAGGATTGGCAGCCATAGCCGTCAAGAACATAGAAGAAGAGATCACAGAAGTCTGGAAACAAGTGAGCATCAACCACGAGCCAAGACGGTGCTCAGTTCCATCCCCAACATTACTACCACAAGCAACACAGAGAGATTTAACCAACGGGAGAAAGATTCCACCGGCACGAGCCGAGACAGAAGGAATCGCCGGAGCTAAGAGAGCTTCACTGAAGACGAGACTGTAACCCAGCCCAAGCGAGGAGCTACCGAAGAGTCTAACGAACTGGTAAGCTACACGGTTACCGAGACCGGTTTTGATGAAACCACGAGCGAAGAAGAAGGCGAGAGCGATGAGCCATGGGATTGGATCTCCGAAAGCGGAGAACGCGGCGGTGAACGTTAGGGTTTTGGTGAGAACGGAAGCTCCTAATCCCAATAGAGCAACAGCGCCGAGAGGAAGCGGCTGAGTGATGATCCCGACGATGGTGGCGAGGAAGATCGCGAGTAATTGCCACGCGTTGCGAGTGACACCTTCGGGGACAGGAACGAACCATAGAATCAAACCAGTAGCGATCGATGCGATAAGAGGCTTAATGGCAGCTCCTTGCCATGGAACGGGAGCTGGAGCAACGGGAGGAGACGGAGAAGCAGCGGCGGAAGAGGCTTTAACGAGAGTTGATGATCTCCGGTTAAGAGAAGCGGCGGGAAGTGGAGATTTGAGTAAGGAGAAGCGAGAATCGAGAGATCGGAGAGGTTTCGTCAAATTGAAAGAGGAAGAAGGAGGACGAGGGAGAGAGAGAGATCGAGATTTGAGAGGGAAAGCGAGAGAGCAGGAGCCGGAGAGAGCGAGAGACGCCATTGTTGTAGCGTCGTCGGCGAGAGAGGGAAGTGAAGTAAGAAGAAAAAGGAATGGTGACCGTTGGATTAAAATCGGACGGTGAGATGAAGAAAAAGGAATATACGGACAAGAGTTGAGAGAGAGTGATGATGAGATACGAGAGATGAGATCGTGAGGTGGGAAATAGAGATCTCCGTCTTTGGTGGGTCACCTCATCCTATTGGCTGAAATATTTTACGAAAAGCCATTTTGGGTTTGGTCTTTTTAGATCGACGAAACATACAAAACAAAATCCTTCACTCAATCACATTTTCTATTGAAACAATTCTTAAACTATGTTATGTTTACTAGTGGATCCAATGAAAGATTAACTGGCAATACAATAGTAGCTTTCAGTACCATTGTCCAAGATGGGCCGAGATGGTTTCACTCACAATTGAATCTAGATTAATGGATGGTGTTGTTAAGTGTAAACTCTATACCGGCCTCTTTTTTTTTTTTTAGTAGTGTTATGGTTCATGGTTATCCTTTGTGTTTTTAGAATAATGTATGACATCAATATTTGTTAAGAGTTTCTTTCTGTAACATGATTTCTTTATTTATATGGATGTCTAAATTGTATCCGGTTTAATTTTCCGCAATATATTATTTGACTCGTCAAATATTAGTATATCTATTTACCAAACTACCAAATATTTCAAATTACATTCAATAAAACAACACGTTGAATTAAAAAGTCGACTCTCTCTCTTCTCTGTCTTAAAATTTTCAGAGAGAGAGATCGTCTTTGGTTGCAGTCCGGAGCCTTCTCCAATTATCAGATCCCGTTCAGCGGGCTTTTCTTCCAGCGTACACCGTTTCTTTTGCGGTGTTTGGTTGGCTTTTGTCCGATATCGTTTTGGCTTTCATAGCTACGATGATCGGCTTTGCCGTCGGCGTTTCTTGCCGCTTTGCTCTCGGCTTTTCATGGCCGAAGTGGGTTTTAGTTTAACAGTCCGGTTTTCTGGCTTTAATCACGGGCTTTCATTGGCCGTGTTTTTCAACTTCTGTTTTAATTTTATGGTTTTTGTTCAATAAATTCCTTAGATATGGGTTGGAATTGATGTTTTAAGTGATCGTTTGCTTAAAATTATTGGTCTCTGCCTCTGTCTTTGTGATCTGGTTTGCAGGAAAAATTTGCAAAGATATCATCTCTGATTGAAGAAAAAAAAGAATCCTCCGATGCTTATTACGATTTCCTTTTAGCTGTTCATCTATAATGGAGTTTCGATTAATAGATCTGGTGAATACCAATGGAATCAACGTTCAATTTTTGGCAATGATTTCTCACCGGAATCGATTCTCAACGGCGAAAGCTGATGTCGGTTTTCTTTCGATGACTCATCCGGCGCGTTTGTGGTTTCATCCACTTGATAACACGTGGCTAGGATAGAATCCAATGTCAAAATATCTTCTGTTTAGATGTTATCAAGTTTTATTAGGCTTCAACTTTATCTGTAAAACCAATGGGGCTTTTGTTATAGCCCATGTAATATTGCCTTGTATAATAAAATTACATTTGGGAATAAAAAAAAACAACACGTTGAATTTTATTCAAAGATAACCTCAGAAATATTTAATAACAACATTGTCATTTAATTAGTTCAATCCTCCCCATTGCTATTTGATTACATTTTTACCGAATAATAAAATACAAAATTCTTCAAATGTTTGCCCATGTTATATTAAATGTATGTGTTTATTATTATTATTTCTTTTTTATTATATTATATATGTTTTACATTGACTATCATTACACACGGCACCTCAAGCCCTAGTGCGAAAACGTTATTCGAAATACAAAATACTCTCTAAGCTTTCATCTATCAATAACAATGTATATATATTTGCATTTATGTGTGTGGCTAAGAATCTTGAGTATAAATCAGCAGCAGAAAAAAAAATAAGATGATGTAAAAATTCATATGCTTTGTTTGAAGTTGAAGTAAAACGAAGGAACCTCAGTGTTCATCAACTGGTCAAGGTCCCAAAATTCTTCCACTGGTCTCATACTGTCAGGTGCGTTTCCAGATCCATTAGTGTTCAACTCGTCTAAGTGGTTGTTAATATTTGCATTGTACCAATCACCTTCTTCACATTCCAAAGGTGGAAAATAGAGGTCCCCTTGTACCCCTGCGTTTACTCCATAGATACCATCTACATAAGGTGTGAAATCGTCATTGCACGGGTGGCTGGTCATGTTTGCCGCTGGAAATGGATTGTTGCTTGGTATGTGGGTCAAGGAAGGGTTGACGAAGCCTTGTTCTTGTAAAGACATGAAGCTTCCTATAATGTCTTTAAGATCCAAAGAAGAGGCGGAATTAGAAGAGGTGTCACTTGTTGTGTTGGGTGATGAGGATGAGTTGTTGATGAGATTGGATGTATCAGACATCTTCTTTAGCCTTTTCTTTATTGTTGAGTTCCAAAAATTCTTGATCTCATTGTCGGTCCGACCAGGCAATCGTGCTGCAATCTGAGACCACCTATATGAAATCGAAGAAGAAGAGAGTAGAATAGTTTAATGAGATGATGTTATGTAAAATGTATACATGTGCATGGTTTGCATGGGAATTAATTAATTAGAGAGTGAAGCAATACAACAATTATAAAATTGCACAATCATATTAAGCAATTTAAGGACATTGTACTACACTGCGTGTATTAAATTGGTTCTACAAATATATATAAATAGAGAGGAAACATGCCCTGCGTAATAAATACTAAAGTTTATGTTTCTGAAGAAAGTGACAGGCAAAAAAGAACTAATAAATGTATGATTACAAAGATGAAAGTTGAAGTAAAACCCTAAGGAAGAGAAAGAAAAGGTGGTAAAGAGACAAAAGCCGCTTTCACTAAAACAAGTGTTTGTTGTTAGATAAGATCATAAGACGCACTCTAAGTCTTAAAACCCACGATCAACGAACTTTGACCACTCACATTATTACATGTGAATGTACTCATACCTAATTTGGTTTTATATATGCGTCTATTTTCTATTCTTACTATTATTATTATTATTATTCAACTTTCTCTTGAGTCAATTCTCTTCATAAATAATCATTCTGCCCTTTAAATTAAAACAGTTACTTATCGTGCCAATGAAAACTCAACCAAACTTTTTATCCTTCCACGTAAGTTTGATTATACATTTTACGATGTTAAAGTATACTACTGTATATAGTTATTTCAACTGCGTAATGTAATACTTAAACCAAAGAAAGAAAAAACTGATAACCCATGCGTCATAAATAATTAGGTTTTCGCCAAATTAATTATATCCTTCTTTTTAACTTTTTCATACACACAAGAGTGAATCCTACATAGAGCTTGTTTTTGTAAAGTTGATCAAAATAGATAGCTCACTTCTTATTTAACTGGTAATTAAGAAAATATCAAATAAAATATATACTGTATGTTGAAAATATAATTCAAGATATAATTCGACAATTTGGTCGTTTTAAGGTGGACTTATTTTTTAATTAAGTTGACTGGCTTTCTATGCTTTCTACTTCGTACCCATTAACCGAAAACAAATTAAGCTACAAAATAAAAACAAGAAATGCTAGTTTGCCAAAACATATTTATCCACTAGTTTGGTTATTTTATTTTATCTTTTGAATTTTTTTGTTATAATGTCAAAACCAAGATGATGGTAAAAATGTAAACCTGTTGCCGAGGATGGAATGAAAGCGAATGATGAGATCCTCTTCTTGAGGAGAGAAAGCACCACGCTTGAGGTCAGGACGAAGATAGTTGATCCAACGAAGACGGCAGCTTTTGCCACATCTTTGAAGACCTGCGTTTTTCGCAACATCGCTCCAACATCCTTGTCCATTGCTTAACATGTATTGCATAAGCTTTGAGTCTTCCTCCGGAGACCAAAGACCCTTCTTCATCTTCTTTACTTGATGAGTACTAGCTGCAATGGCTACCTCTGGTTTCCTCATTTTTTTAGTTGAGTTAATTGTTATTATTTCTCTTCAATGTGTTTGTATTTCTGCAAGGATCCATTGATGTGAACGAGTGAAGTTTATTTTATAATAGGGAGAGAAAAGAGAGAAGACTTGATGAAGGGAGAATGATGATGATGAGAAAGGGATGGTTGTATGGTTTGCTTACAATTCTGGGAAGAAAAACCATTTGCACTTCTTCCTTTTATTCCTTAAATATATTAATTATTTTATATACTATAATATAACATATTGTGTGTTGCTTTGTTTTTTTTTTGTCAAAGGGTGTTGCTTTGTTTTAAAACATAAAAAAAAAAATCCGAACCCTGGCTCTTTTTTTCAAATTAACACATTTTTAGTCAGCATATATTGTATGATATAAGGTAACTATATATGAAATACACCAACAACAAATGTATGTTTGTGTATAACTAATTTGACGAAATGAAGAAACGTTAGTTGATCGGTCATGGACGAAAACGGTTTTGAAAAAGACCCGAATTGCAAAACATCAAAGAAAAAAAGGAGAAGTGCTCTTCACTTGTTCTTTTTTTCTTTTATCTTTTTGAATATATAACTCAATTCTATTAGTTTCTTCATTCACAAGGTATACATTACAGACATGTCTAATTCGTTAACCTTGCGTGTGTATATATATGATATATAACATTGATATACATGATATGTAACATTTATAATATATATTCATGAGCATGTTTATTTCTATTCAAAGATGTCTTCATTTTCAAGGTAAGCAAATGTTGTGTTATTTAATTAATTGTGTACGTATGTAAGCATATTTCGATTGTATAAATAATAAATCGACGTGTGTCACATAACCCTTTTTTTGTGTTATATGAGGCTTAGCGAGCAAGAAGTTTTGCTTCGGCTTCACACAACCACCTCTCGCGCACCAACACGTATACTTGAAGAAATCAAATTATTGTAATGAAGAAAATGTTATACTCCTTTATCCATATATTTTATATTCCTTTTTTTATAATATAATTAAACGTGTGTCATGATTTTTTAATTTCTCGATTTACACTCATATCATATGATTTATATTGTATTAATATATTTTGCCCACCGGTCCGAAAAAAAAATAACTGTTTATACAATCATAATTAAACAAAACATCCATAGATAAAGTACAAAAGAAGTTAGAAGATTGAATCTTGAACATAATTCCTATTGTAAAAGGCCAGAGATCTTAGCTTTTAGGGGAAACATTTGTTTTGTTGAAATCTCTTTGAAGCTTGCAACCTCATGTATATATATACAAGATAAAAGACGTCTGGTAACCAATTTGTAACTTAAAACCTAGTTACGTAAAACGCTAAAAAGTTTTAAAATAACGAAATGCGAGATTTCATCGATCCAAATTTCAGAATCATGGTCTGCAAGCCCACTAATCCGCTATTCCTCATCTCAAAAAAGTGTTGCCTCTCCCTCCAAGCTCTCATCTAATTAATTAACCATTTGGTTCATGATATTTCAGTGATCATCTCATGCATACCCCAAGCTCTCATGATATTCAGTCATCTCATGCATACCCCAAGCTCTCAACTATGCTCGCATTTTACCCACAATGCGTCACAATCTATGAAACTCATTCTAATCTGTACATTTACTTTTCGTAATATCGCCCAATGACCAAAAAAACCTCTGCAAAGCTGAACTCTTAGCCAAAGAAACAATCATTTTTTGTAAAATTGTTTATTTCTTTTTATATTACTTTTTGCGATTCTTAGATCAAATTGCTACTTTTGTGCTAGTCTAGAGTCATTAAAATGAAATATGGAGGAACAAATGACACAATCGTTCAACAAAATTTTAGAATATAAGTTTGCCATAGAAAACCTTGATAAAAATCTTAATTTACGAAAATCTCTTTCAGTGATTTCACAACTAAGCGTTAAATGGAGTAATATTATTACTCTTAAAAATATTAAAATTTAACTCTATGTTCTTAAAGACACGTCAGCTAAATCTAATAAGAAACCGTTAGTGTAACTCTAAAGTCTCTTAACACACAAAACAATCTCATTAAAATTAAAGTAATAATTAATACAGTAGTGTGAGGTTAACAACTGTAGAAGTGTAGGGTCATGTGTATTGAACTCGTTTAAGACTGATAACGGAAGCCTCAAGTTTATTTATTTGAATGATTGTGCAACATATCATTTTCTTAAATGAGGACAAAGTGGTTACTAATTAGTAAAGCAATTATCACCCATGAGAACTGATCCCCAAATAAAGGAAATTAACAAACTACCATTGAATCAAAGCATTAGCTTAAACTTGAATCTTACTTTACAGGGTGATGTATCTTAACCTATAATTTTATATATGTCTTATATATCTTTTTTTTAAAAAAAAAGATAATTAAAAGTATCACTTCAGGGTTCTATCTTTTTGGTGACAAAATCTAATTAGTTAATCATTATGCATTACATGAAAAATGTGGTGACACTGTAGTTTCTGATTAGATTGTCTTTGAAGAAACAAGAGAAAATGGACTTCATGCTCTTTCAATTATTTCACAATCGGACAGTTCCATATCTACATTACCAGCAATTGTGAATACATCACCTAACCCAGCCCGTTCTGTTGGGTCGTAATCCAAAAAATAAAGTTTGAATTGGTAAATATTTTTGTCATCGAAGTTTCTTTCTTTAGAAAACAAATGGTGTAGGGATCTTTAATATCACCAAGTAGACGTTGTTAATTAGAGACATAAAAAAAACAGTGCAACAAAAAAGTCATAGAAGAAGAGTTAATAATTTCATACAATTATTAGCTGTTAACAGCTAATAAATTACATTTATTAAAGCTGTTGTTTTTGTTTTATTTGACCATTTATTGTATTTGCTTTGATGAAGCGGTGTTATTCGATTTTATACTTTCTAAGATATATAATAAATAAAAGATGTCAAAATAGAACAAAATTTGCCTTCTCATCATCACCTAAAACCTACAGCTAAACCGCGTCGGCCACGACGGCAATAAATCAAAACAGTCGGTCAACGCAAAGGAAAAAGTCATTGGGTAATAATTCATACTTCAATTTCTTTCAACAAAAATGTTCCATAGCTAAACGTAGTAGGGCACCACTAAGTTTATTTTTGTTAATGGAGCACCACTAAGTTCAATGTAATTCATTATTATTTCCAAACAACGATTTACAAAAAAAAATATAAAAAATATTACCCAACACTTAGAGATCCCAATCAAATTCCAAAACTAATCCATAGATTTTTTTTTATAAGCTAAGGATGACAATGAAAGTTAAGGTCACACGAGAAAGCATAACCAATTTTATGGTCTCATTCCCATGCCAAAATTAAAACTGGACACTCTTGTCCTTAGGTTACTACATTAACGAACTATAGTTTAAACCACGATAGGATGACTCCAAATCCAATCTAATTCATTAAAGAATGTAACTGTTTACAAAGTCATTGTGTTTTCACTAGCCATATAGCTTGTCTAGGTTAGATAAATCAAGTTTTAAAGTAATTTACAGAATTGAAAAAGAGCCAGAACCCGCAAATTTGATAGAACTATTTCTAAAACATTTTTTTGGGTAAGTTATACTTATACATTGATAAACATCGAACAGATCTCCTAACGTGGAATAACAACGTTGTAATTCAATAATAACTTCATTATTTCAAAGAAGTGACTAGTTATATAACTACTGCAACAATTCTGTTAATTATTTCATCTTACATAACGTGAACAATCGAAATCTGCATACTTTTCTCACGGTTACTTGGAAAACAGGCCATTAATTTAGATTATGTTACATCAAAAATCAAAAGGAAACAAAATATAAAAAAGAATAGTTGTAAAAATAGAACTCAGATCAATTGACGTACTGCACTGTGTTCATCGATCATAAACTGCAGAATCTGAATCTGTAACCGGAGGCGGCGAGAAATAACGGTAAGGAGAATAAGTGGTTGGAGGAGATGGAGCTTTGTACTTGTAATGAGGGAACTTATGTTTTGATGATGAGACAGAGGAATAACCATACGCTGCGGCAATCATGGTGATGATGACGGTGAGAACCATCAGGAGGATGAGGCGTGTAGGCCATAAACGTTTCATCTTCGAATCGCACAAGAGAAATTGATGAACTTTATTATTGCGGTGAAGTTTAAATAATAATATAGACCAATAGTTCCGTCTCGAGGGTTAGATAAATAGATGGCTTGATTATATATATAGGCAATGGTTTATTTTAACAAGTCAAAGGTTTTGGTGTTATCATATGGAATCTAACAACACGGCAACTTTTTTTTTAATTATCTCCTAGTGCTACTTGTATTGGGAGAAGTTTGACGAAATTAGTTAAATTGGATTTAAAAAAGGGAAATGGTACTAAGGTAATTGTGAGAAACTAATTTGCAGATCTAGCGTACAAAAGAAAGATACGGTAAAATCCTTCTTTTTTTTTTGGTTGTCGACTATGTGTGGTAAATTGGATAAAGAAAAGGGACTACCGGACTAACGTATATTCTATCGAATAATATATTTTGAATATCGTTTTAGTTGACTCTTTCTCTTTATTTTTAATTGTTTTAGACTACAATTTTGTAATTATTTTCCATGTTAATAAGTTTTCTTATTATTTAGAGTTTTAGACTATAGACTATAGTCTTGCTATGAAAACTTTTTCGGTACGGTTGAGCATTTGACAAGGGTTTAGTGATTTATTCATTAGGTTTGGAGTTCGATTATCTCAAATTATGAAAACTGAAAAGATTAGCTCCTCTATCACACACTAGTGTGGTATAACTACCGGTCATGGTTTTATTCATTTTATCAATATGTGATTCCAAATAAGACGTTTACATAAACCATCTACTGTCTTAATTCTCCTCTTTCTTGACCATTGCTTGACCAAGAAATTCTTCCAAACCAATGACAGAGGAACCATTAACTCCATCTTCCATTGCTCTCCTCACTAGTTCCTTCACCTCTTTAGCCTTTTTCCTAATCTCTTTCCCTACTTCAGTCTCCTCCATCACCAATTTGATCTTAGAAACAATCTCATCACATTTGATATCACATCTCTTCCCACGCGCCACCTCAACCGATACCCCAATATGTTTCTCCATCAATATAGAATTGAAGAATTGCTCGGCTGCCATAGGCCATCCGAGCAATGGCACACCGTGGCTAAGCGATTCGAGTATCGAGTTCCATCCACAGTGACTCAAAAACACACATGTTGCCTTGTGTGACAATATATCAACCTGTGGTGCCCATTTCTTCACAATCAACCCTCTTTCTGATCTTGTTATTCTTTCCTCAAATCCTTCCGGTAGATACTCTTTCACATCAAACTCAGTCTTCACCTCCACACCTATCGGCGGCCTCACTACCCATATGAAGTTTTTCTCGCTACTCTCTAATGCCATAGCCAATTCTAACATATGCGTCTGCAAAATCGAGTTCATTGAACCAAAACATACGTAGACAACCGAATGGTCCGGTTTTGAGTCAAGCCATGCCTTCACGGCTTCCTCTGTCGACCTTGATCCCACCTTTTTGTCAGGAGAATTCAAAACAGGCCCGACTGGCCAAACCGGAACACCGGTTATTCTACGGAAGTAGGATAGTCCGATCTGATCGATTTCCGCAACCGTGTTGAACAAGAATCCATCGAAATCAGACCATCCAGGTATAGTCTTCTTCATGAAAACCGACCAGTCATCCGTTCCATCAGCTTCTAACATGAAAGAATTCAACTGAGTTTTCTCAATCTCCCCTGCTTCTGGGAAATCATCTAAGAGAAACTGATCTTGATTGGTTTCTTTATGTGGCAAGTTTAACCATATGGATCTATAACAACCTAACCCAAAAGCACCAGAAGCACTAAAGATCACTGAATAAACACCAATCTCTTTGCAAACCTTACCGATCCAACCCAAGAAGAAATCGCCGATCACTATAACCGAGCTCTGCTCATCATCTTCTTCCTTCAAGATCTTCTTCATCAAGTCTCGAAAGGGCTCACGAAGCGACCTAGAAGCTTCAAGAAGGCTGATGACGAGAGAGTAAGGAAGAGAATCGAAATTCTCGGCGTCGTGAGGAAGGCCATGATCGGAGCTGTTGAAAGGTAACTCGATGAGGCTTATGGAGGAATCAGGTGGAAGATTGGAGCGTATTTTGGGGATGTTCAAAGGAGTATTGATCATAGAGATGATGGTTTTGTTGGCTCTGTTCATCATCATCTTTTCTAAACGAAGGGCTAAAGCTACAAAAGGGATGATATGGCCTTGTGCCATGAAAGGGAACATCACGATTCTCAGATTTCTGGGTTTAGCGTCCGCCATTGCACAGAGAGAGAATGAGAGATTTGGGGGTTGTATTTGCCGTATCGACAACGGTTCAGATTCAGACAAGGGAAAATGTGTGTTTTTGGTCTGACAATAAAGACTTTTATTTACTTAAACAAAGTTTCAAGATTGACTACATTTAATTATTTGTTACTTCTTTTTAAGGGAAGGGGCTTTTGGTAAAATCACTTTTCCATACTTTTCTAGTTTTTCTCTCTAAAAGAAAATAAATGGTGTGACATTGGCCTTTTTTGTTGCTCTCTAACTTTTTTTTTCTTATTCGTCCATATTGTGAAAAACGTAATGAATTTTTTTAAAAGTTAGGCATGTATTCATGAATCTACTTATAAGAGTATATTTATTCATTGTATCAAATTTGGCGGAAAAAAAAAATTCATTGTATCAAATTTATAGCAGAAACTGCAAAATTGAAGGTTTTTCTTTTGGAAAAAATAACAACTCATTGAAGTTCATTGAACTGAGCTTATATAAAATAAACGTCATACAGTTGAAGAACTTATATGTACAAATGATTATGGACATCAGTTCTTATCTTATGTACAAACCAATAATCATTTTTACCTGCTATGAAAATAAAAGAGGTCCTCTAATATAATTTTGTTTTGGGCCTGACACACAAAAGATATTGAAGCAAAAAAAAGAAGTAAATGGGCCTTTTTACTTGTTTTGGTATTTGAACCTAGTTTATATAACACGACAGACAACATCACTGCTACAATTACAAACGACTAAGCTATAAGCCTCAGTCTCCATCATTTCTTGTAAATCTTTAATATTAGTGTGCTTTCTTTCTAGCCTATGGTTTTACTACCTAAATCACAAATATGCATTCAATACAAAATCTCCTTGACAACTAGTATTTGACAAAAATTAAAAACCTATAATATTCTTAACAAAGACAAATGTAAAAAGATCACTGAAGCCTAGGTATAGAAACCACAAGAGATTAACAATAAGAAAAGTTAATTAAGAAGCAATCAATTTTGATTAGACTAGAGTGAGTGTGACTCTCTTCAGTTCATCCCAATGACTTGTACCTGCAAAGAACCTTACATCTCAGAACCCTATCTTGAACATAAAACCCAGGCATCACCATAACCTTAACTCGTGCGGGTCCACGGGACGATGCTGATCTCTGCCTATCTGCACCCATATCTTCCATAAAACTCGATTCAAACTCTCTGTTCTCCTCAACTCTCAAGATCCCTAACGCTGGATTGAACGAGAAGGCAAGCAAATGAAGCAACCATACACATTTTGCAGCCACAAAGAATGCTTGAAGCATTTGTTCTGACCAAGGTCTTGTCCAATTCAATGTTGTAATGATCAAACTCATCTTCTCATCGCAGAATCTACTGAACTCATCACTGTAGTATTTTGTACCCTTTTTCAATACCTCGTTCCAGCTCAAGTTTCTCAAAGAAGCAAATGACGAGAAATTCGCTTGTCTATCTTGTTCCGGATCAAGCAGTTTCGGCTTACCGTTCTTCTGGAAAACGCAGTTCTCAAAGTCTTGGTAAACCGATTGGCTTATGATCGCTTCTAAGTGGTACTGAATGATTTTGGAGTACTTAGAGGTGAATGATAAGTTGTGGGGTTGAAGGAGAGTGTTGATGTTACCAATTAGAGTAGAGTCTTCTTCGTCTATCTCTGAAACTAATGTTTTCAAGAATTGCTTTATCGATAATCTTGCTTCCGATACAATCTGCAAGAACCCTTCAACCATCACTTCTTCACTCACTGGCATCTCTGAGTTCTTCTTCCCTGAGCTTCTTCCAACATTATTCTCCTGTGACACTACTTCTGTTGCTTCTCTCAAAGCTTTCTTTAAATTGTCACAGTAACTTTCCAAGTACTGAAGCTTCTCACTTAACTCTCCCAATGAAGATTTCATCTCTAAGACTTGTGTTAACGCAGCATCCCTACTTCTATTTGCTTCCATCAATTCTCTTTTCAACTTCTCAACACCTGAATCCTTCATCACCTCGGAAACTTCCTCTGATTTCTCAGTTCTACTAGGTGAGTTAAAGATTGAATTGCTCTTTTGCTTTCTCTTTAACTTAGGGAATAACCAAGACATCACTCTTCCTCCACGGTTTCTTGGCTGAGAAGAAACAACAGCAGAGTGCGAATCCGTCAAGGGCACAACAAGATTAGAATTCTTCAAGCTCTTGGTATCGAAACCTCTTTGTTTATTGTAGTCATTGCAAGAAGAGACCGATCTAAAGTCAACCGAGCCATTGTTGCTTCTACCGGTTGTATAAAAATGTAATGGTGGAGACCTGAGAGCGTCCGACATCGTGTAAACATGATGATGAGAATCTTGATTAGGCATCACAGTCTTTCTTGAAGTTGAGGTTTTGTACGAATCAGAGAGATAAGTATCTCCATCTACTAAACCAACACCATCTTCATCCCAAGTCTCAGATAAAGTGAGATTCTTGTGATGAAATGCAGACACAGGCTCATCTTCATAGCTCTGTTTCAAGACGCCAATAGACACGTTAGCAGAGAAATGTGTGTAAGGTAAAAAGCACAGTAACTTTTGTCCAAATTCAGTACAGTGTGTCAGCTAAAGACAAAAAAAATAAAAACAGTGGTTCTACCGAATTCAGGTCTTTTCTGTTTGTCTTTATACTTTCACCACTTAAATTATTAAAGCGACTAACCAAATTAATGTATTTTTGACAATTCTTTCGAAATAATGAACCGCCTCTTTAAGATCCAAACGACATGGTACAATAAATTAAGAAAGATATAATCTAAATTGGATACTGGAATGCAATAATTAAGGAGCCTGAACCGGGTTTAACCAAATAAATCTCGGGTTCGATGAAATTATTAAAAATGTTTAAAAAAACTCCAAAAGCTTTTGAACAAAACCCAAATTCCCATACATAATGTCGAAAAATCAATCAAGTAAAAGACACAAGAAAAAGTGGACAAACTCATGGAACCAAGAAGCATGATAGTGAGAACAGAGAAAAGAGAGAGAGAGAGAAGTTACAGGAGTGAAAACAGGGTAATCATGAGCAGAGAGGTTAGGAAAAGGACGAGAAGCAGGTGAAGCAGCAGAAGAAGAAGAAGGGTTTCTGAGACTGTAATTGGAAGATGGGCTTGACTTCATCTGCATAAGACTCGCTTGAAGTGCTCTCAGCTTCACTCCATTTGCTATGGCTTCTTCTTTTTCTCTTGCCTTGTTCATTCTTGTTTCAGAAGAAGCCATGGCAGAACAAGAACAAGATTAGAAGAGAAGAGAAGGATGTGACACAAAAGAGAGAGAGAGAGAGAGAGAGAGAGAGAAGAGATAGTGAATGCGATTGTGCAAGGAATAGGGTGTGATGAGGATGATGTCTCTGTGTGTGTGAAGAAGAGAGAGAGAATGAGAAAAAATCCAAAGAATGTTCTGTCTCCCTTCTCTTAAAAGGACTGATAGAAAGAACGAACGCATGTGAAGGGCAGAGACCATTTTTTTATGTTTACTATAATGCCCTCCCTTTTTCGTTTCTTTTCATTTTTTTCCAACTTTTCTCATTTTGGTTTTTGGTTACTAACTTTACTAATGGTAACATATCATACTTAATTGAACAGTTTACAAAACCTAATTCCAGTTCTTTTACATAATTGCTATCTTATCCACTGCGAAACACATTTCCTCTGTTTTATGGTGTTATTAATTGTAAATCAATTTGTTTATCTGAAACAATGGTTTTCTATAAGTTTTGTTGTATCTTTGGGATAAATGGTTAAAAAATTTGTGAGATATAGATTACTGGATTTATTTCCATCCATACCTCTATTATTAAAAGAAAAACAAGAGTATGTGGTTTGTTTTTACCGGGAATTCTATTACTAAAGAGATATGGTTTATTCATTAAAAAAAAACTAGAAAATCTAAGTTAAACTTTATACATTTATACTAAGAAAATAGGAAAAACTAAAATTAGGGATAAAATCTATTTATAATCAATAAAAAAAAAAAAAGTAAACATTGAAATTATTATGTAGAAACACCAAACAAATAGATGACAAAAAAAAAAAAAAAAAAAAACACTAAACAAATAGAAATGCTATCCCGCTATATATTGAAAATTTGAAAGAATCATACTGTAGTTTGTTGACAAAAGAAAAGTCGTAGTCTAATTTTATAGGAAAGGGATCTCATAAATGATAAATGATTAAAATGATGATGTCTTTCAAAAGTAACACACATGTCATTGGAAACTATATCAAGGATCAATTCAAATGTTACAAAATCTATAGCAACCACTTAGAGACCTCAAGCAAAATAAAATGATTATGGTTTATATTCAAGTCAACATCAATTTGATAATATTAGTAGGTCATATCTTTTTTTTTTTTGGGTGAGTTTAGTAGGTCATATCGTAGAAGAATGGGTAAATTACAAAAAGAAATAGGCCATAGCTTAGTTAAAAAAGCTAAGATGACTTTCTGACAAAATCAATTTTGTTTAGTAGAAGATAGAATTCCGTGTGGGACTGATCATTTCTTAAGAGTTGTTTTGCAATAATGCTGTAAAGTCGAGTTGTTTACATCAGCAATTGAAGAAGAAGTCAAGAAACTAAGAAAAAAGGATTACACTGTGTTATTTATTTAATGATGAGAAAATCATTGTTAAGTAATTGTGCTTAACTTTCAAAACCAAACCCACCAAACCCATATATAAAGTACAAATAGCCTAACCTAATAAAGCGTTTTGAAAAAAACCTTCCACATGAGTTAAAGTATGTAATGCCTTTTTGCCTTTTTCATGCGAATGAACCGTGCATTTGTTTTTTCTACACTTCTTTATTAGTACCATTTATATAAGGTTTTATCGTTTCTAAACATATTTCTTTCAACAGTCTCAAAATGTAATCACTTGGGTTTTGACTTCTTATCCATAGTATTCTAGATTCTTAGCGTTGATGTTAGAAGTACAAAAATCTAAGAGAATTATAATAGTTACTATTTTCCCAACACCGTCTTAGTAAATAGTAATGGATCTAATCCGCCTTGTTCGAACACCGTCTTTCATGAATTAACGCTTGATGAAGTTAATAACGAGACGGCTACGAGTGCATGCTCACGGATCAAAGGATGGTGATGGAGATAAAGAAGAGTAAGAGAAAGAGAGAATCGAGAGATACAGTAGTTGATTAGGATAAAGCCCAACCCGGTAATTCATTCTTGTTATATCTACTGGGTCATACATGCTATTAAAGATCTATTGAAGCATTTAAAGTTTTGAGGATAGGTTTTCAAAAAAACCTAGATAGAAACTTTATAGGTAAGTATGTATGAATCATTATTGGTGTGTTATGCAACCATAAGATGGGTTAGTTTTGGTAATTCTATCAAAGTAGTTTGCATTTTTTGGAAGTTATAGAGCCGGCCTCGAGCGCAAACATGTTTGCGGCCCTCAATAGTATAAGTAAGTTTTCGGTCCATTTTTCACAAAATTTTCTTTAGATTAGTGTACATAATTGTATACGTGAAAGTGTAGGGTTCGAATCTCACTTTTACCTCATTTTCTTACTTTTTATTTTAGTTGATTAATTTTTTTTTTTTTTTTTTAACGGGATGTATTATTATTAGTTGATTAATTCATAGGCCCAATACAGTTTTTTTGCTTGTAGCCCATATATTTTCAGGGCCGGTTGCAACATATCTCAATGGAAAAAAGAAGCCTTGATTTTGAGACTAATCGACGGCTGTTAGTTTTGAAAGGTGAAAGCAAATCAATGATCTATATTTATCGAGCGTTGGAGCTGAAACTAATCGACGGTTGTTTTACTTTTGAAAGATAAATAAAAGCAAATAATGGTCTATATTTGTTAAATCATTATTCATGCGGATAAGAAAATCTTAAAATTCCTTTTAACTATAGTTTCTTCCTAATTTTCATCTAGATTCTCCACAAATAGATAAATGTCTTAGTCCACAAACTCTCTAACACATATCTTTCACAATCAAAACTTTTTTTTACATATCAAAGAGTATTTGCTCACTATGGCTCGTTCCAAGCAGACAGCTCGTAAGTCAACAGGAGGTAAGGCTCCACACTTTGCCATGAGGGTAAGGCAACACTCAACTCCGCTGCTTAAGAAACCATATAGATACAAGCCAGGAACAGTGGCCCTCAGAGAGATTAGGAAGTACCAGAAGACCACAGACTTGGTTATAAGAAAACTCCCTTTCCAAAGATTGGTTAAAGAGATAGCTCAGAGTCTCAAGGCAGATCTAAGGTTCCAGACTGGTGCTGTTTCCGCTCTTCAAGAAGCCGCTGAAGCTTTTATGGTTGGAATGTTTGAGGACACCAATTTGTGTGCCCTGCATGCCAAAAGATCAACTATCATGCCTAAAGATATCCAGCTCGCTAAAAGGCTTCGAGGCGATAGGGTTTGAGATCATAACCTTGTATTATTTTAGTTTTCGGGATTAATATTCCGATTGAAATGTACTTCTAAGCTTATTAGAAAGAAATAAAATGTTCTGAACTTAATAAATTTGAATTCCATCCGACTGTTCTGAGCTGAAGAAATAATTGTTGCATGTTACATTTTGTGGTTTTGATTCACACTGTTTTTGGAAATGAATCTAGCAAAATAAGTATAAAACAATAATAATACACAACAAGAAAAGAGCATTTTAAATGTTGTGATGAGTATACTCTTTTTGGAACACCCATTTAAGCAAAACTTATATTCATACATAATCTCGTGGATGATTTCTATGTTACAAACCTAAGCCCAGTCCAGCTAGTAGATGCTACAATTCACCTTCTGCAGTTTCTGATGAAGATGAGCAATGCCTCTGCGCGATCACCAGCAAAGACGAATTCTGCAGAATCACCATTTCTATTCAGAAAGTGACTTATCATTATCAACACTTTGTCTTTGCCAGTTGTAATGCACAATGCCAATTACACAGTTCTATTACTAATACCAGACAACAAGTCCATTTGTTTTATTAGCTAGGCACTACTACAACTAATCCAAAAGACTAAAATTGATTAAGATCAGCAAAGCAAACTTGAATACCTGAGTTCCAGCTACGATCATGCCGTTGAGAGGATGTGCAGCACAACCTGTGACAGTTTCAGACAATGAAACAAACTTGTTACTGTGATTACATCTGTCTCTCTTCTCGTTTCTCTGTGTATCCTCACTGCAACAATATATTAGAATTATCAGGAATGTAGTCATGAAGTTTAGAGAAAACATTAGATATATCGGAACTTTTCAAGTTCTTACTCGTAGTCAACGTGACAAGGAGACCTGGAGCTTGGATGGAAATCAAGAACATGAATTCCTTTCTCGCTCATGGACCCAACAACATAAATCTGCAATATATATCATATAAGTTATAGAATATGCCAAATAAGATCGGAAAATCTTCACTTATGACCGTTAATGGTAGTACAAAGTATGGTAGTACAAAGTGCAGGGCTTACAGATGATGCTGGCAGCCATGATGGTTTCCGCAAGATCAAATCAGCTGAACTGTCGGAACCATCCCTAGTGAACCAAAATCCGACATTATTAAAGCATTTTCTTTCCCAAGTGTGGATCAATTTAAATGATTCTTGTTACAAATTAAGATTGAAGTTCCTGAGTTTGCTTATAAACTTACAACCAAGCTGGGGGAGGGCAATGTACATGAGTAACTTCAGATTTATATATGTCAAGAACACCGGACCTGCACTAGAGATATCCACCAAAGGAAAATGATAAATGATATAAAATCAACGAAGCAGCACATGAAAGTAATATTTTGTTTAATCGTTTTTCCAAAATGAAATGAGCTGTTATGAAAGAATGACTTACCAACCATCGTCAAGGTGAAATGCAAGTTGATGAGGAGAGGACGGGTTTACATTAATGGAATGGATTTCTTTGGGCAAGATTTTTGACTGTGCCTGCAAAGGATACATGCAAACTTTTTCTAATGCTGCCAATTTCAGTATGATCAACTGCTGGAAGTTTCAGGGGTAACATGATTCCCACATTACAAATTCTTACTTAAAAAAACCAAAGAAGCAGAACAAGGTTACTTGAACGATGGGCGAGGGCACAAGTGAGATAGAAAACAAAAGACAGAACTTACCTTCAGAGATGCAATCTTCTGCAGCATCAGTGCGAGATGTAGAGATGCTAAAGGCAACTGGCTCATCTGAATGTTACCAATATCAAAACGTGATCAGAGCCAGAGAACACAAGAATGAAGGTAAATTCACGTAGATATTACAGATGAAATATACTGCCATAGCCAATTCCAGCTCGCCCCTTGTAAGACTTACATCTTTGCGGCTCTGAAAAGCAGAAGAGTTTCTTCCTCCACGAAGGTCCCAGATATGAATGATTCCTTCTTTACCAGCTCCAAAAATAGTCTACATGGTAGATGAAAGAAACGCAGTCTAAAACTTTGGGTCCTTACTAAATTCGAAATCAAAGTCTTACTGCAATTTCAATGATTAGAAGAACTTTACTGGGCTTGGGGATATCTTATTCTATGATTACCTGATTATCCACATATATTTGAATACTCTTGATTGAATCATATCTGTCTGTTGAAAGTTCAATGCATGGAGACACTCCTGCTCTTCTATCCCACACATGAACCATACCAAGTGTATCTGGAGAAAATATTCTGCATAAACAACAAATGCAGAAAAGTTGCTGAAGAAAGTAGGTACAATGAAGCTATAAATGTTTTTCATCACAGGGAAGAGCCATTCTACAAACCTCGAATCCTCATCACTAGTCATGGCAACATCAGATAAACCTCTAGAAACTTTGCGGCCAATAATCGATAGCTTCTGTCTAGTTTGCAATACCTGAATCACAAATAGAAAAATAATTGAAATGTGGGTGGAAAGATATGAATATTTAGCAGGGCTAGCCTAAGTAGACCAGACTAAAACTAATGATAAATTAATAAGTCTTACCACGGCCATGTCAGTGGCCGTGTCATTTCAATTAATAATTGACTGCCTTTTCTTATAATCGTAATGGGAACAATACATACACTATTCGGAAACCATGTTGGAAAGGGAATTTTGCTATGCCTAAGATAGAAATACGGCGATACATCTGTGCTTCTTGTTTCTAATATATAAAATATAAACTGAGCTTACAAGAAGAAAACCTACCTAAGTCATGATGATGCAGTCACACGAGTTGTAACCAGAAACAATTGCCATTTGACAAACAACCATATAACTGATATCCATGTGATCTCAAAGTCAGAAATCATACCTCAGTTGGTTTGGGAGACATGTAACTGATATCGAAGATAAGCACTTGATCATGTTTCCTCGATGTGCAGGCTACCTATATGAACTATAATTGCTCAATAGAAATGTTTTTAACTGAGGTTTTAAGAAAAAGAAGAAGTCAAGATGGGCATTGTATTGACTATTGAGCATATACCTCATTCTGGTTTGAAGGATTCCATCTAGCGACATCGAATTCCCTTCCGGGAGGGTAAGAAAAATGCACAACATGCTTACTTTCATCTTCCAAAGAACCTAAGATTGATGACTCAGGATTCAAAACTGTAATGAATAAAGGTACAAAAACTTGTATAAGAAGCACACTCTGAGCAGACAGACTATAAACGTATGATCCAGAAACACCACCATCATTGATATCTAAAAATATTATATACCTTGCTCATATAGACTTTAGTTAAGGAATATCATTGACAACTGGTGTTCAAAAAATGGGAACTTTATTCTCAGTTACAAGACACTTGAGTATTTAAGACTGAAGGTTGTTTAGCCTTGCCAAAAATTGAACCCTTCACAAATAATGAGGAGCTGTGCACTATACCAACGTAGATACAAAGCTCAGGCAAAAATTGCTGCCACATTTGCGTGAGATTTGAGTGAAATCAAGTTGAATTTGAAATGAATGCTTAACTAAAACTTGGAAACCATTACAGCTCAGAACCAAAGACAAAAGAAAAGCTTTTTGAATAAAGAGACACCTAGAAAATGAGCATAGATCAAAGCTTCACCTGGGCCAACCTTACTCTGGCAATATAGAGATTCAAAGTCATGCACCATCAAGCATCCTGATCTTGTGACAGACACAATGAATATACCCTGGAAACAATACCTTTACCTAAGAAATGGTAACAAGAGAATCGAAGGCAAAAATAACACAAGGACTCGAGACATCCTATATCTCAAGAGTAAACAGACATAGATAAGTAATGATGAACATCTACGGAAACAAGAGCAAAAGTATTGATGAGAACTAACCCGGCTATCAAAATCTAGTCCTGCAACACCTCGCCTGGATAACCATAGAAAAGGGTCCAAATGAATCAAATAACAATCAATCAGTTATTATCAAACCAAGCTTCAAATTCTACATACTCAAAAAACGAGAAATAATAATGGTCAGAGAAACAATTGAAAATACTAACATTGTCGGGCAATGATATAGGCGTTGGATCTCCCTCATCTGAAATACAAACTCTTTAGCTCTCTCGACAAGAGAAACTTCAAAATAAACCAGATGAAAAAATCTTACATGGGTTATACATGGGTTCTCGTTCAAGTGATAAAAATGTGAAAATTTCCCAATCTTCGCAACAAAACAAAATCCAAAATTACCAAAATTTAAAGGAGAAATAGTCTCAGGATAAATAAGGCTGAAAACGAAGGGAGTGTGAAACCTCCAAGTAGGAATGAGCAACTAGAGAATAGAGTTCGTGTCGGTAAGCTGACTCCAATCGTCCAGTCACTTCGATTAAAGATCGCTTCCATGGCCGCCTTCAAGGGGAAAAATCGCCAATTGATGAACAGAGAAGATGAGAGAAACAAATACTTAGTAGACCGAATTACCTGACCGTCGTTGTAGATTTTGCCGGCGATGACTCCGGCGAAACCAAGTATTTCTCCATTGATTTTGACCTCGACTGATATAATTTGGGGATTCTTAAGTTAATTTTCCCGCCATTCACTTCTGGGTTTTAAGTCCCCCATAAACTACTCCAAATAAAGCCGGTCTACCAAATTATTATGGACCGAATTTATAAGCCCAAATAATAAAGGCCCATTGGAAAACTATGACTACTTGAGTTTATTTCTCTTGTAGAGGATATTCGTTTCCTTGACTTCCAAGCTTTAGATCTCGAATTCTTTACGACCTCACGCGGCAGTTCTCCGTGTACCTTCCCGGCTGAGGTACGGTTGTTCTTATCAACTTCTTTTTCAGTAGATTCGGTAGTTTTGTTTTGTTGGGGGAGATTGCATAAGCCAATAATTTTAGGTCAATAAAAAACAAAAATGAAATTCGGAGAATCTGATTTTGACGTTCTTAATGATTTGATATTCATGGTTTTTTCAAAATTTATCTACAATCTGACTTTCATGTTTATTATATATATATATATATATATATATATTTTCCCCTATCTATCTTGTAGAAAAAAATGTCCAGTCCGATGCAGAATGATTTGCATTTGGAGAAAGACAATTCAAATCAAGCTCCGGCTGATGTAGCAATCGTTGCACCACCTCCAGAGATGAGAATTCATATCGATAAAATAGCACGTGTGGGAAAGGGTTGAGGATAGAGAGAAGGATCATGAACGTTAGTGAGATTCCCTCTAAATTCGACTTTCTGAAGAAGTCAGATCCTTATCACGCATATTACAAGCACAAGGTTACTGAATACCTTGCTAAGAATCAAGATGAAGGAGCTCAGGATATTCATCAACCTGAAGCTCCAGCTACTCTTAAAGGTGATGCACAACACTATCTCCGGCCTCTTCCTTTAAGGGATCCGGCTTCCAAGTTCCCAGATTATGTTCTCCCTGAAGGATATACTATAGAGGATCTTGATACTATTATTCTCACAGCGCAGTTTGTGGGTCGGTACGGGCCGGAATTTTGGTTGGATTTGATGAAGGAAGTGGATAACAAACCTCTGTTTGAGTTTTTGAAGCCAGCTGACAGCAAGTTCGATTATTTCAATCGGCTTTCTGTTGTGGCTTCGGAAGGACTAAAGCGATCCGAAAAGCTGACTAGTTCTCGTATGGCGATTGTTATTAAGGCTTTTTTCTACCATCTTCGTCGTAAAAAGGATAAGCGGGTGTTGAGCCACAAGGAGGGAGCGGCAAAGGCTAGTACTGTGTTTGGTGCTTTGTATGCTTTTGTGGGTGCTGATGGCTGCTTTGCTGACATCAAGGACGAAGATTTGCCACTACTTCAACACCCTTCAGCGATCAAGAACATACTAACAAAGCTGCAGCCTCGTATGCCTCCACTGGGATCTCAGCCAAAACTATAAACAAAAGCTTGACGAGTCAGCTCTTGTTTCAAAACTTTGAAGGAGAAAATAATTGGGGGTGATCTAAATGCTAGCAAGCAACACTTAAGTTACGTGGAAGAGCCGGGTTTTAAAAGGACACTTGCAACATTACAATGTGAGAGCAGGAGTGCTTTTGTTAGAACACAGGGAATTGGTTTTCAATTTTTCAATCTCTTTAACTCTTCTTTATGTTTAAAATAAATTAACTTAAGTTTTGCTATTGACTTAACGCTATAATCTTAAAGAACTCTTTGCTCTTAATATTATGTGATGCTCATGTTTCATGTTTAATTAGAGAAAAGATTCAAAAATCTTTTTAAGCATTTCACATGACTCCCAACTCTTGCATTGAGATTTGAGAGAGAGAGAGAGAGAGAGTCAAGTCAACCATATTGAGATATTAGAAGATCAAGTTTGTGTTTGCCTTTTGGTCTTTTCTTCTTTCGGCTTAACATTATTATTACAGTAGCATAAAAGAAAAGCTCAGTTTTGTGAGAGCTATTGATATGAAGTCAACATTCTCAACACATAATTTTTTAGTATATTATACTTTTAGCTACAATATAACTTAAATTCCGAAGCACCTACGCACAGTACTAATCTGGCAGCTGGTTCTGCACTTCAGACATGTCAAACAGGTCCAGTCATAACTAACTGAAACAATTTTAAATCTGAACATAGCAATGAATCTCTTATCTTAACATTTTAAGGCCAATCCAATGGTAACTGATACTTACCAGTTACCAGCAGATCAATACTTACTAAACCCATCTCTTATGTGAACCAGAGGAATCTCTTGGGGTGGTCTGAATTGGCCTTCTAGGTTTCCTTGAATCACCTGTAGAAGAACCTCGTCTCATCCTTGAAGAAGAAGAGGAAGAAGAAACGGAAACAGGCTTCCGAGTAGTCGATGGACTAACTACTGAAGGCGGCTTTACAGATTTTACAAGTGACGTCGAGGATTTAGCTGGCGCTGATTTATGGGTTTGTCCCACAGCTGAGAGCTCCTCCTTTATGGAATCAACTGGAGCCTCCAGCACAGCCCGTCGGGGTGTGTCTACAGTAGCTTCTGAATCAGAGGATGAAGTAGCTGTAAGAACATCCATATCATAAAGAAGATTATCCATTCTCATTGGGAATTCATGGGTATTTGAGACTGCAGGTGAATAGGAGGACCTCCGGAGCCTAGTGAGCTGTGTGACCTGCGCATTTCACAACGAATGGACGGTATCATATACAACAATTTTTAGTACTGAAGTTGTTAACAGGAACATTTCCGGATGAAAATTGAAACTAAGGCTCTGGAACTTGTAAAGGTTGGTTAAGTTTTTTACCTTTTCTTCTAACACCAGAACGTCTCTCTTGAGCTTCTTAATTATTGTCTTCTTCCTGCGAATTATGTCTTCAAGCTCCGTTTCACGCTGTTAAAGAAAGAAGAAACATATCTTTGTGTAAGTCATATGAAAATTTAAGGGCGTTTGAAAAAGTATAGGAATCCACGGTTACCTTTGAACCAGCTTTGTTGGTCAGCTGAAGAAATGAAGTTAAGTCCTTTATTGTTGCATCTTTCTCCTGACACTCCTTTCTGAGGGAAAGCATGTCTTGGTCGAGCGAAAGACTATCAAACTGCAATAAACATTTAAACAAGTTATTATTGATTTGCAAATTGCAACAAAACCAACCAAGATCCACACAAAAATTGCTTCACCAAAATTTCACATATTCTTTACATACATGGGTTTCTGCAGCTGAAGTGACACTAGAACACCAATCTGACATATAAGATATACGCCTTTCCTCTGGCTCTGCATCAACCACCAGATTTGTGGGAGCTTTATCCTAAACAGTGAAAACATGATCAATATAGGTTCATATAGAGATGCTCAGTGATTGCCATAGAAAATGAAAGAGCAAACACACAGACACACACCTGTATAGCAGGTGACGAGTGATGATGCTGATCACATAGCCAGCAGCCACAATCTACAAAAGTAATCTTCTCAGATCCAAATTTTTCTTTAGGAGTTGATCGTAGATCATCATGATCTAAGACCTTGGATAGAGTTCCAGACTGATCTTTGACAAGATGTAGCTCTTGACACAAATCATCAAGCTTTTGTTGCATGCTTGAAAGAACCTGATCCTGAAATATCCACACTTGCAGTTAAAGAACACACCAATTCTACAGTAAGAATATCTCTTAAGAATCCAAACACAAAATGGATGAAAAAGGTCCAAGACTTCATCAGTAAGACCATTGTGAGTCAAAACTTAGAATAGCTTGATCAGCCTAAGTATAAAACTTGGACTAGTAATCACTTAAACGTCGAGATCTAGATAGATAAACACACACAAAATTGTATGAAATTCAAAAAGATGTAACGGAAATGGAAGCATAATTGAACAAAATCATGAACTAAAGCAAAGTGCTTTAAATTAAACAATCCGAGAAAAACGCAAACTTTTTAATCAGATAAAATTGTCAAAGTAACGAAATTTCTCAAATCTCTAGCAGATATATAAGAGAATCAACAACACTCACCCTGAGATCAACCGATTTCTGGAGCTGTCGAATGAGACCATTCTTCTTCGACTCAGCGGCGGCGACACCAATGACCGCCACAATCAGGAATCTCTGGTAAGGCGTGAAGAGCTCCCACGCGAGGGCTTCCTCTCGGCTCAATCCGCCGCCGATTGATCGCGCTGAGCTGGCTTCATCGAAATTGACGAGTAAACCCTGGAGAGAGATGTAAGCTAGCGGCCGAGAGGATTGTAGTGGCTGACAGCGACGGGTGAAGTGAGCTGACAGAGGCGGAACGAGAGAGGAGAAGAAGGGGGCGAGATGGACTGAAGCGGGCGGAATTGGGTAAGACCCGGGATCCGGATCCGACCCGGGTTCATCCATGGAATGGAAGAGCCGAAAAGGAATCAACGAGGTTAGAGAAAACGGTTCGTCTTCAAAGAGAGATTTCTCAATATTCAATTTTGGGTTCTTGGATTTTTCTGTACTTTCAAAAATTGAGATTTCCCCCGTAAGGAAGGTGATGCGACGTTGCATTGAGCATCATCATCTGGGTCTACATTGAAGCCACGTATACATTGAAGCCTTTTTGGTTAATTTTCTTTTTAGTGTCTCTAATACATACTGTAGTAATTTTCTTCACTAACACATTTTTCTGGTGTTTTGATTTTAAAAGTTTTGTTTCATTATTTGAAAAAATAGCCAATTGAAATTTTATTCAAAAGAAATATGTTTTCTTCTTATTCGTCTTTTTTTTTTATTAAGACTAATCGAGTAGTTCTAGACAGAAAATCATACTTTTGTTTGTCGTTTTCGGACTTAAAAAAAGGCACAATATTATTTGAAAGACACTAGTCCAAAACTCACTTGGTCTCTATTTATTTTTTTGTATGAATTCGTCTCTATTTATTTGCATGGCACGTCAATACTTAAAACCTTTATTCGCTGGTCTCTCATGTGCTTGCTCATGCATTACTTACGGGAACCACATCCACATTTTAGTTCTCTTGAGTCTTCTTATCTTACCTAGGTATTTTGATTGAACCATTATTTTGCAAACATTAATTCACGATTCGATTACACGTGAACGTCTTAGTGATATAGACACGTGCTATGTCCTAGTCCTTGGGAAATCGACCTTTCTTTTTGTTTTTCTTCGTTTTCTGAACTATGAAGAAAAGTCGTCTGTTGTTGACTCCCCTGCATACTACCTACATTTTTTGAGTATTCTTCTATAGTATTACTATCTTTCCCAAAAATCTCTCATCTTTGCGCACTCAAACCACAGTTTACTAAAGTTAGTTACAGTAGATTACACAATAGCCGACAAAAAGTAGTGTTTTGTGGATGATCATTGCATAAACTTAATTGTATAATGATTGTTGTCATAATCCATGTTAGTATATATTTCAGTCGACTGAACAGTCTGAACTACGAATCATTTTATAAAGTTCTAAATATGCATTAGACGGCAAACGAACCACATGCGGGCACATGAGTTGTCTTTTGAATAATCAAACTATCAAAGCCATTAATGTCTTCCTTCTGACTTGACACTTCCTTCTAAATCTCTTGATACAATTAAACAACTGCCAAATCTCTGAATCACGTTTACTCTAGCTGTCTCCAAACCTGTCCTGTTTTTAGGGCCGACCATGAATTTTCAGATATCTCTAGGATTATATAAATTTCAAGGGAATTTAAACAATGTCGGTTGAAATATGAAAATGAATAGCGACTACAAAAAATAAATGTTTGATGAAAAAATATGTTGATTTCTGTTTATTTATCGATGACAGATTGAACAAGACAAAAAAACCTTTACATATTTGAGTCGTTGCTCGGCAGATTTTGTACATTAGAGAGTAACAAAAACAAGCATATAATAATCAAAACCGTAGCGGAAAATGCCAATCAAAGGGAAATTATGGTTCGTGGAGGGTGATAATGTGCGCAACGTGGAGGCAATTTGCAATGATTAGGATTGTGGATCATACTGTAGAAAAAAATAACTAAAAGTTTACAAAAGATTTTCTTAATTATAATTCATTGACTCAAAAGTTGAACAAGAAAGACGAAAAATATAACATCTTTACACAAAAACGGTTGATATATTTATGTACAAATTGATAACAAGGACAAAGATCACATGCTCATCTACAATGATAAGATCGAGATTGACAGTAAATTAAAAAATCATGCATCTATAGTGTGGACAAAATGAGAAACTAGGATAATATGCAGAGACAAGATTAAAAAAAAAAAACTAATAGATGTATTGCCACGATTGTTGTTTTGATCTCATTTTTCGAATATCTTCGTCTTTTGTATAGCTTTGTAATTCCAGTACGTATCGGAGTCCAGACTCCGGAGAATCGTAGAGAACAAGCCCAGATCATGGATAGTATAACTGTGCAAGCAGGCGACAGAAACAAACAAAACCATGTTATTAGCAGAGCCGTGTCTAGGATTACAGACACCAGAGGCGATGTTATAAAAAACCTCAATCCATATAAAATAATTTTTTGAAAAAAAATAATATGTGAGACCAAAGCGGGTTAATAGTCCTCTTATAAATGGGAGATCAAATTAGAGGTGCATGTTAACCATATTTTTTCGAAAGATTTAGGATTTTCCCCAAAACTAAACGCTACCTAGATATATAAAACAAAGTTTATAAACTACTAATCATCATCATTCCAAACAAATTGAGTAAGAAAACCCAAAATGTAGTTATAGTCTCTTTTATAAGTTATAATTATTTATTTATTTTGAAAAACTATAAATTATAATTTAGTTTGTAAATCATAACTCATAATTACTAATTTAAAATGTAGTCTCATTTTCTTTGTTTATGTTTTATCAAATCTTGTATTAATAAACAAAAAGCACTAAACCAATATGAAAACAAAAGTTAGAAGCTTAGTTGATTTTTTTTAAAAATGGCCGTAGGCCAATGTTTCTATTTTTCCTTCATAGCCACGGGCCTGGTTATTAGTAATGAATAATGATCCAATCTTGACCACAAACATAAAATATGAAAAATAAGAAGCACTAGAATTTAACCCGCGGTACACCGCGTGGCTATATTTTTTTAAAAAATATAATGTTATTTTTTAAAGTTTAACTGAAGATATATCATATTAATTTATATTTTTAAATGTAGATATATATCTATGTATTATCTAGTGTATGATTACTATTGTTTAGGTTTCAATTTTTAAAGTATAGATACGAAAACATACATTTTTTTTAAGTAACGATGTATGGTGGATTTTAAAATTTTGAATATTTGACTCTGAAGTATACCGTGGGTCGGTTTTTTAATAACTGAAAATTTTAAGTTGTATTTGTTTTGTTAATATTGTTTCTTTTGTTTTGTGTTTAAGATTGTATAATTGTATTTTGATTGTTAATTTTAGGATTTCATACTTAATATACCGTTATTAATATCGACTCAAACCCGTCATTCCATATAAACCCGTCTATATTATCCTATTAGCTAAATTATTAGTGTTATAAAATCCAAGAAAATAAATTATTATTGTAATAAAATCCAATGATTTTAGGATCTCACCCGTGGTATACCGTTCTTTGAATGATTTTAAATTTATTTTACTAATATATATTTTAAATTTATCATATAAAATATATGATTTCAGGTTTTTGTGTTTTTATTTTATTTAAATAAAGCAACGGCTTAAATGATGACATATATAGTTTTTTTCTTGTATGTGTATATAATTTTTCTATGTGAATATTTTGATTATTATAAATTAGTATTTTTATTACTATGCAAAATGTTAATATAAATATTTGCTATAAAAGTTTTTTGAAGATATATGGAAAGATTGTGTAGAGATTTTTAAAAACAAATTAGGCAAGATATTGTTTGGTTCATATATTTTATTTAAATTTTGTAAAAGTAAATAATAAATGCCAATGACATTCTTTGTAAATACATTCCAACTCCAGGATTTATTTGCTAAAAGTCATCCAAAAATGTATATATAGATGCAAGGCTTTTACCAAAAAAAAAAAAGAAGCATGCAAGGTACGTGACGTGGCAATCAATAAGAAGGTTCAACGAAGCAAGGTCTTTAACAAAAAAGTAATACTTCGTCGTCTTTACGCCAATCAATATGTGACTATATAATAACACCATATAGTTAAGTCACACTTCCATGTCAACGTGCTTCAACCTATGTAAAGAGCTCGTAAACAGTTAAACACACATATATGATATATCACACAAAGATCCTTTATACTATGGATACTAAGAAATCGGTAGTGATCCTATTGAGCAACGTCTTCGTGTTGCTCCTAGCCGCCACGGTGGTTCAATCTTGCTTACCATCCGATCGAGCGGCGCTTCTAGAGTTCCGGGCAAAGCTCAATGAGCCATACATTGGAGTTTTCAACACTTGGAAAGGCCAAGACTGTTGCAATGGCTGGTATGGTGTGAGCTGCGATCCCAACACCCACCGAGTCGCCGGCATTACACTCCGAGGAGAATCCGAAGAACCTATTTTTCAAAAGGCAAAACGGAGCGGGCTAATGACCGGCTCCATTTCGCCCTCGATATGTAAACTCACTCGTCTCTCCGGCATCATCATCGCCGATTGGAAGGGAATTTCCGGTGGGATTCCTAGTTGCATTGAGAATCTTCCTTTCTTGAGACATTTAGATCTCGTCGGAAATAAAATCTCCGGCGTGATTCCGGCGAATATCGGGAAGTTACTGAGGCTGAAAGTGTTGAATCTCGCCGACAATCACTTATACGGTGTGATTCCTCCGTCGATCACGAGATTAGTGAGTTTATCGCATCTGGATCTCAGGAATAACAATATCTCGGGAGTCATACCGCGAGATATTGGTCGTTTAAAGATGGTGAGTCGTGTGCTTTTAAGCGGTAACAAAATCTCGGGTCAAATACCCGAATCTCTGACCCGGATATACCGGCTCGCGGATCTTGAACTCTCAATGAACCGAATCACCGGTCCGATTCCGGGTTCGTTCGGCAAAATGTCGGTGCTCGCTACATTTAACCTCGGCGGAAACTTAATTTCCGGCGAGATTCCGGGGAGTCTAATGGCATCATCGATCTCGAATTTGAATCTGAGCGGGAACCTTATCACCGGACGGATACCAAACACGTTCGGGCCGAGATCGTACTTCACGGTGCTGGACCTCGCGAACAATCGTCTTCAGGGACCAATTCCGACCAGTATCGCGGCGGCGTCGTTTATTGGCCATCTTGACGTGAGTCATAACCATCTGTGTGGGAAGATTCCGACGGGATCTCCTTTTGATCATCTCGATGCGACGTCGTTTGCATACAATACTTGTCTTTGTGGAAAGCCTCTTGGGAATTGTAAGAAATAATTAATTACCCTAAAAGATTTGAGGGAATCAAATAGATTGATTATAATTTTCACGTTAGACCATCCGCAGTAGTGTAAGTGTGAAGGAAGGGTGTAAGATTTTTTATTATTATTATAATTTAAAGTAAGAGAGAAAAGAGAGAGAGAAAAAAAAAAAAGAAAGTATCTTACATCCGAGTGTAAACTTACACCCGGGTATGAAGAGAGACAACTTTTACATTAAATCTATTTTTTTAATACTTACACCCCCTTTGGAATGCACCACTGCCTATGCTCTTATCATGTAACTAAAATATTTTTATTTGGTGTTTTGTTTAGTCTTCTTGTTTATCTGTCTTGAATCTTGATTCTCTCAAACTATCATCAATGAGACACCTCGAACGAAATGAAATGAGCTATTAGGATCAACTTTAAAAATAAAAAAAGTTTAGAAATGTGGACCGACCACGCTTGTGAGATCAGTAAAGCCCGGGATACATCCAATAATTTTGTCTGACTAGACTTTAGAAACCCAATTTTCGACGACCGGATTTGGTACATAATGAATTCATCTCCTTACATATAATTTAAAACAGTTTGGTTAGTAAGTTAAACACTTTAAAGATACGTTTTTCATGTATCTCTTGTTTTTGTGTGTTCACTTAGAGAGATTGGTGGGTTACTTAACAAAAACTATAGGCCAAATTGGTTTGTTGGGCTTGTATTCAATGTCGGTGGTGCACCGTGCTTGAGTCGTCTTTTAGAAGAATTGAAGATATATTATTGCCATAACTCCATAAGTTTTACAACTGAGTTTTAGTTGTAAATTAATATTTGACGTAAATATCTCACACCTTTAAGCAATTCTGCATTGACCCGTATTTGTTGATCATAATCTGCAAAGGATGTGCAATGAACTATATTTTTTGCGATGGAACATTTTTTTTAATGATGATCTCTTTGATCCGTCATTGAATACAAATTTCATATTTCGAAGATAAGGTAATAATATTGACAAAGTTTCTGATAGATGATCTCTATAACACCAAACACGATTATCATAGCTAGTCACAACTAGATTACATAAATTTATTCATTAATGGTAATATCGATTTAGATTCTAATATAAGTGATGATGGGCGGCTTGCCCCGTAAAGATCATTACAAGTAGAGGTGTCAAGCGGGCCGATAGCCCGCGGGCTTTGTCCAAGTAGCCCACGGTGGGGCGGGCTTGAACATCATTTTTTATGCCCATAAAATAGCGGGCCTCGCGGACAAGCCCAGACGGATTGCGGGTTTTGCGGGTTTTTGCGGGTTTTGTCCGCGGATTTGCGGGCCGGCCCGCGGACTACAAATATTTAATAAAAATAAATAATTAATATAAATAAATAAATATTTTTACATATTCTGAAATATATATGTGAAATATATGAACATATAACGAAATTTAATGTATAAAATTATAAGATTTACAAAAAAAATTAATTCTAAATTTTTTTTAATTGAAAAATTGTTAATTTCAAATTTTAAAAATTAATTTTATTTTTTTAATTATTTTAAAAATACTTAAAACTAAGCTCGCAGGCCGGCCCGCTAACCCGTTGAGCTTAGCGGGGCGGGCCTGGATATATCATTTTTGCCCGCAGTCCTAGCGGGCCAGCCCGCCGCGGTCTCATAAACTTAAATGTCTATCGCGGGCCGGCCCAGATGGACGCGGACCGGCCCGTGTGACACCTCTAATTACAAGTTTACAACTATGCCTTGTTTTAAAAATCGCTAGGCGCTAGTCGGGCGCTCGGCATGGGCCTAGCGATTAATCGGAAAATCGGATTAAAATCGGAGATTAATCGGGGATTAATTTTAGGGTTATTTTAATATTTTTAAAATATATTAATCCAATATTGTAAAAATTTATGATTTTTATTACAAATTTATGATTTTTATTAAAATTTGAACACAAGTTATTGTAAAACATCACAAACTCTCCATTCAAATGATTGAATAACAAAAATAAAAAGTTTTTTTATACTTGCAATCTAAAAAATAATCGGGGTATATAAGATTAGGCGGAAAGTAATCGGATTAGGCGGTGAATAATCGGGTTACTGATTTTTTAGGGGATTAGTCATTAATCGAGGCGGATAGGGTGGGCCTAGCGATTAAGCGGGGAGTAATCGGGACTAGGCGGGGATTTTTAGAACAGGGCAACTATGTAGTAGACATATTTTTTTTTTAGAAGAACAACAAGATACGACACAAAGAACACGTGAATACCGTGCCGGAGAGAATTGGACAACAAGTATGTGATGCTTCTAAGTTACTTTTATTATTAACAGGAATACCGTACATGAGAGAATTTCATAACAAGTCTGTGTGCAAAGTATGCTTTGAAGCATTCTATTAGTTAAAAATATTTATGGTTGATGCTGATTGTAAAATTTATAGAAAGTTTCAACTTTAACTGGTTAGATAAACGTATGACATAGACATATGCTTAAAAGTTTTTTTTATTAGGTGTTAAGAGGAAGACTTTCTCTCATAGTATTCTAGTGTGAGCTTTCTAATTTCTACCATAATTTCATAAAACTCATCGATTAACTATTAAGTATTCACATAATTATAGAGTAAAATATATTCATATCGTTGAAAAGAAAAGTATATATTTGGTCTAACAACTAGTAATTAACAATCCACCTTCCAGTATATATCTGTGCAATAAGTCTCTCAGCAAGATTTTTTAGTCTCACCAACTCGAAGCATTGAAATGGATAAAGACGTATTTTGACAGACTTTTTAACCATTAATATATTTAAACAAAAACAATTCTTCAAAACCAACTAAGAGTAATTGGGTTATATACATACATATGCATAATATTTATCGATTTGACACACAAAAACTTAGAGCAACCACAGTGATTAGTTTCTAAGTAAGGTTTCTATGTATTTTTTATTAATAAATTTTGATAGTTTTGTAGTTTAGAGATTTTGTAGAGTTTTGAAAAATTTATGGTCCATTGGTGGAATCCTTAAATGGGTTTCTAAAAAATAAAATAAATTTTTAAAATTTTTTTGTTAATATTTTTATTTGAACAAACATGATTATTATTATGAATTATAAATTTTAAACATATATGATATAAAAAGAAGAAGAACTAGCAAGCAATCATCACAGTTTTACAGTTTTAAATGCTATAAGAACTAGCATTTGACGTTTACCTACAAAAGCATTTGACGTTTATCTAACTATGACACTTCCAATTATATCAACCAAGAAGCATTTATCACAATAAATAACAGTAAAAGATAAGACATTTAATTACCAAGAGAATTGGTGCCTGAGGGAAATAGCGAGAAATGAGATCACCAATGTTTTTAGCCACACCACAGAGCTCAACATCATCAAACCTCTCGTTTGCATGAAAGTATCCAACAATACTTAAACCTTGAGCCACATGATGCTCCTCTATCTACCACAACAAAACATATACCTGAATCCGTAAGTTTTTCTTTAAAGGATATAGGTACAAACAAAGCTACAGAACAAACACATAAATATCTGAAATTTCTATGTTAATATAGAAACAACAATAAGACTTCACTGAGAATCAAGCAAACATATAAAAAACTAAGAACAAGCTAATAACAACATATGCAGCTCAAGCTTAGTACACGAACTAAAAATTTCCAGAATTCGTAATTCAATATACATACCAATGCAATGAGATCATAATCTCTTTCAAAATTCAATTTAAAAGCTCATAAAATCAAATCGATTCGAAGAAGAAGAGATACGATTTTGAATAATCCTATCAGATGAAAGATTGATAAAAACGGGACGCAATCTGTTTTGATAAGAGGACGAAAGAAAGAAGGAAAAAAAGTAAAAAATATCTCTCCTCCACACCTCTCTCTTTCTCTCTATTGATTCTCTCTTTCTATGTCCGACGATACCAAAAGGTAATTCAAAGGAATTTTAGGGTTTACCGTTGATTTCTTCGATTCGATTTTGGAACGTGTTTTGAGGATTCTTCTATCTCTGGGTTTTCGCTTATTGAATTCGAGCTGTAACTAGCTTTTGGGTTCCAGCTCGATCATCATCCCGTGGTTGAATCAGTCGTTTAGGTTGATGATCTGCCATGATTTCATGAACGAATCACTAGATCGGCGTCGACAATTCCAATCGACTTTGGAGTCTCCGTCGGTGAACACGAAAAAACGAGAGAGAAGAAAAAAAAAATTATAACGCGTATGTGTTTTTTTTTTTGGTTTAGTCAAAACGTTTACCCAATAAAATGAAGCCACGTATGGGTTTCTATTGGGTCGCGAAAAACCCAATTTTAGGAACGATCCTAAATGGATTGTTCTGTTTTTCTTTCATCTGAGCCCATTTTATCTTAAAAACTCAACATAGAAACCCACTAAAAACCCTTGCTGGACTTGGTCTTAGGTCCTATACAGTATATTAATATAACAAAGCTAATCAACTGAACAAGGTTACTGCCTTTGTGGCAATCCAATAAGGTACAACAACATAATATTTACGTTTTCTCAAAAATAATTTTGTGTTGTTTTTTAAACTTAATAATTGTTTCTATACTTGTAATTAGTGTTTAAAAGATATTGTTTATAAAGAAAAAAATTATTTTTAGATAACATTTTTTTTAAGAAATTATAAAATTAGTAAAATCTCTCTATAAATTAATAATTATTAATTTATTAATAAATTAATACTTCTCTAAATTAATAAAATTTTCTGGTCCCAACATTATTAATTTATAGAGGTTTTACTTATAACGTTTCTATAATGTTTTTTTTTTTTAGATATTCATTAGGTTTATTTTTAATAATATCATCCATTTTTCCTTTTTCCCACAAATACCAGATCTTTTTAGGAACATTATATTTATGGTACATGTATTTTAAAAACGGATCGAAAGTCGGATCCAAATATCTTAGTTTTATCGTTAAGGTAAGCCCATGAAAGGCTAAAGACATTAAATTCTAGATCGGTTTTCAGATCTTAGATATTTGGTTCACCTCTAATTTCTAGATGGAGTATATGGCAGTGTACAAGTGGGAAGAAAGTAACTCGCGCGTGTATCCTTTGCACTATACTAGAAAAAGAGACCTTTTGGTGGTTAAGATTGACGAGTAGATGATGCTCCTTTCTTGAAGCAACAAACTAAACTCGTCATCATAAATATTCGGGTCATTGCTTTAATCCTAACTTCTTAAGAACCACTGATTTCCCCAAAAAAGAGAAAATTATTTAGAGATAATTGATCTAAATAATAATTGACCGTAGCAAATATCTTAGCCACCTATGAAAATAACAAAATTGTCGGAATGTCGAAAAGACTTCTTCTTAAAATTGACAAATGACGAGTACATCTAACTAACCATCCATCACTCTTCATAAATACACAACTACTCTTTCAGTGTATATCTTTTATTCCATATTTTTTGGTTAAATCTTTCTATTTATATTTACTTCTACATACATAATAATTGCATGCCTTCCATTTCAGGGAATATCGATAGCTATTAGCCTATTAGCTACTACTTTGAAGATTATATAGTAAGTACACAGTAAAATAAATTAGGTGTATTAAAAGTAGTTATTGTTTTAATATTCAATTACTACAAAATAACCTCTCAAATATTTTTATAACTGACGTCGCAGAGGGAATTTACTCCTCATAAGTTAGCATGGGACTATTGAATGTAATTTGTACAAAAAGAATCTCTCTTGAAAAAGAGAAGACATAACCAGAAGGAATATATGACAGTACAAATAGTAAATGATTCTCTTACCCACTTTAGATATAGAATTGGGTTGAAATAGTCTTCACTTGTCGCAAGAAGGAAACAGTAATATGTACATATGTTCTCCAATCTCCAAATACCAAATAGACATGACAGAAGAGTGAAGACTATTTCAGCCCAATTATATATATTGAGTTATATAATCATTTATTGCTATGCTTTGTTGATGCATATGGTAGATATAGTTTTAGTTTTGCTTGCTACAAAACCAATGTTATTTTTGTGAACAATAAACACACGGATCTTAACATCGGAAGCGTCGGTAACACTAACACAAACCGCTATGCAATATGTCTTCGTTTATTAATACAAGCTTAGTAATATGAGTGAATTATGTTTATCATCTACATATACATTTTTACAGGTTTTTTTGCTTTTAATCATTTGGATCCGGGTTTTACCCGGTTTAAATCTATTCGGATCTAGAATAAGAGATTTAAGGAATATTGTAATAAAAACGACATTTAAGACTAAATTAAACATACAATTCGTTTTAATCTTATTTCCTTAACTACTTCCCACATTAATTGGTTCTATTCCTTTTTATCAATAGTAGCATTAAAGATTTTCCGTTTACGAATCTTGCAAAAATCTCTGCTTAGTCCACGATTAGTTTCTAAAATAAAATCTCCGAGATATTTGATAGCATTTAATTAATACCAAATTATCATTTAATTCTACATATCTCTAACCAAAAAAACGTCATTAATATAGATAATTACACATATATTTATGTTTCCTTATTCCTTAACTTCTTCCCATATAAATAGACTATATTACTCTTTACCTCGAGATGATTTTCGAATATTTATGCCATCTTAACTAATTACATCCATACCATATATCATCTATATTCTCTTTATATTATGCAATAAAATATTTTTAAAACATAATTATGGCTAATTAGATTCTTTCCATTATATGGTTCTCTTCTCTAATTGAATCCATAATTCCCGCCCAAGAAAATCTCAACGATGATACCATAATTATATACTTTTCGATATTTTTTCTTAACATTTGATTTTAAGAAACAAAGTTATGACTCTAATTATTTTTTTAATTCGGTTTAATGTGATTTCCTAAACTAATTACCACATTAATCGGCTATATTCCTTTTAAATGGTTGCTTAGCTTTTTTTTAAGATTCTCTGCAAAACCAAATCATTTACAATCTTTTTCAAATAAATTTTGTTATATAACTATTTCCTAATCTTTCCTTAAACATATCCTAAACTTTCGTTGTATATAATATCTTTGATTTTCTACTTTCTCTCCAAGATATTATCAAACTACCTTAACAATAAACTTAGATGCCTACCTACCCTATAAATACCACACTTTTACTCGACTAGAAGACTCATCAAACAAATACCTCTTCTTACCCATTCCAATCTTTATTTGTTATATGAACTTTCATTTTTCTGATTCATGAATTTAATAAACATTTGATGTCTTGCGCAGATAATCCTATACAAGATGAGCAACCCATTGATGATTGCCATTATCAAGAGCATATGCTTTAAATTTACGTCAGATTCTTTCATATGGTTAGTTTTTTGTATTCACCCTATTTTTTCTAGGTAAATCTTCATGTTTAATGATAATCTTAATATATATATATATATATATAAGATAACTACAGTTTGATAGCATTGATTTTTAAAAAACTTAAAAGAAAAAATAAAAAACGAAAATACAAACTATAAAAAAGTCTAACTTTATTAAACGTTTTAATTATTTCTAATATTATAACTTTTATGAAGTTTCAAATATTATAAATATTTGAATTTTATAAGAATTTATAAGTAGTTTAAACATTATAAATATTTATAAAAGATATTAATACGAGACGGTATACTACGGGTGAAATCCTAGATACTAGGGGAGGTCCCCGCGCCCAGCGCGGGGTTGTATGTTGATTAAGACCAGAATTAATAATTAATATTTAGGGTTATCAAGTTAGGGATATTTATTGAATTAATTTTGTCAAGAGTCTAATTTTTATAACGACATTAATATAGAATTATGGTAAAACGCTATAACTTTTGATATATATTATTAGTAATCAACAATTAATAGTGTTTTTGAATCACAAACAATTATTAGTGTTTATATCTTGATATATATAATAGAATTAAATATAAAAAATCTATATATTTAAACCAACAATATATTAGCAACGCCCCGACCGCCACTGTCCATGGGTTCCCACGTCCAGTCTCGGTCTTTAGGCCCATCTTCTTTGTTTTGTCGTACTCTTGATTTTATGACATATTCATGCTTACTCGTTTCTTTCATATTAGCAACGCCCCGATCGCCACTGTCCGTGGGCTCCCCACGTCCAGTTTCGGTCTTTAGGCCCATCTTCTTTGTTTTGTCGTACTCTTGATTTTATGACATATTCATGCTTACTCGTTTGTTTCATATTTGTAATGCCACGACCGCCACTGTCTGTGGGTTCCCACGTCCAGTTTCGTTCTTTGAGCACATCTTCTTGGTTTTGTAGTACTCTTGGTTTTATGACATATTCACGCTTCCTCGTTTCTTTCATATTTGTAACGCTCCGACCGCCACTGTCTGTGGGTTCCCCACGTCCAGTTTCGGACTTTAATTTGGGCCCATCTTCCTGGTTTTTGTTGTATTCTTGATTTTATGACATATTCATGCTTTTAGATTGTATGTCACTAGAGTTTTTCGTAGTTGGAAACAAATAATTGAAAAATATAATCTCTTACCATATCTCTTACCTATCAAGTAAGTCATCTTGCTCTTTGAAGTAGTTATGTACGTAAAATTTCAATGGTATAGAAACAGGCATCTCTTTTGTATATATCGTGTCATATTTATCGTCCCTATTGTAGTATCTTTGTCTCTACCTTCGCCATTGGTCGCTGCGTAACCCTTCAGTTGATCTCTTGTTTATAAAACCCATATAAAAAGTTGTAAGAGAAATATCATTTTCTTAACTGTATCGTATATGTATTTGTAGTATATTGATCTGAGATTGCAAAGATGTATGCCTATCAAGAAGCTCTTAGCAAAGTAAACACTGAAGATAGGTACTAAAAATGAGAGGATTACAGAGAGCAAGTATCTATCCCTTAGAAACCACTATGTGCAACTGAGAATAATTCATATATGTACATACATACACATGTATACAACGTATTGAAGCTTTTAAATTTAAATATCGAATGCTACAAAACTGGAAAATTGCTTGTGGAAAAAGCAATATGAACATGGCCACATATATAACAAATAACCGATTATGCTTGTCGTAGATCATTCTCTTTCAAACCAAAAGTTTTACCTAAACAACATATCAAGTGACTCACAAGAGATACATAAGAGCCATATCCTAAAAATATCCGGCAAAGCAAAAACGCTCCAGGTTCGAGAAGGAAGTCATTGGAAAATTTGAGTATATACCAAACTGGAGAGTAATTCGGCTACAAAGAGAGATGTGTTAGCTTTGAAGAAAAAGCTATGTGATGTTCTACCTTTTATTTATGAATTTTATGCTATGAATATATGTTTTTGTTAGGGTTCAACTTCAGTCTCCGGATTAGAGACTTATATTCATCCGACAAACAATTCGATGTCACAATCAACGCTACAAAATTGGTGGGTTCTCTCTATTAACAAACAAAAAAAAATTCTGGGATATATATATTTTTTTTGTTTTGTTAGATCCATACGACGAAGAACATGACGAAGAACACCAAAAATTCTCATCAATCCGGTACGTTTGATCTTATTTTTATTAGTTTAACAATTACGGTTATGTCCAAATCTGAAATAACCATGGCTCCAGACTCCTTCACACCATGGCCACATATCACCGGAGTGGAGACGATTTCAAATTCGGAGCTTCTCTTCGCATATAAAATCATACATATGGTCTCTTTGTTTTGGGTTCCCTCTACAATAATTAGTACATATTTCAAAACTGAGCTACAAAAGAGCACATTGGATTTTGGTAAACATCAAGATTGCTTCCTACCTTCCAAGAAACATGATAGACTAATTCACATCCAAGACCAAACATTAGCCACATAAAGCCTGAATCAAATTAAACGATCTTAGGATGCTCTTCATAATCCGTAAGTTAAAGAGACTTGCATTAATATTGCAAATTAGACTCTAGAGGTGCACAATGGTTAATCAGAGTGTATCAAAGACGACGAATAAAGCATGAATTAGAATATCAGCAGAGGAAGCACACAAATATTCAATAAACGTAATCAATCACTGAGAATAGCATGGACCCAACTTTTGAAAGATTCATAAAAAAGGAAGATTTTTCCTATGCAACAATATTCAAACAATGAGAAGATCAATGATTGATGACTAACCATACAACCGAAGCAAAGCCATAAACAGAAACGAAAGTACTAAAGAGCCACAACAGCAGTGATACGACATTTGTTTCCTCGCACTGGGAACAATGACGTGCTTCCATAAATCCAATCTAGTTTTTATGGAAAACAAACCTGCATTCATAATAAACACTACTATTAATTATTATTTTTTATGCAAAAATTAAATGGCAGTATAAAAAATTCAATAGTTAGTGCCGAAAAAAAAAGCAAGGATTAGTTATGATATCAAATCAAAATTAAATATCAAGCAAGGTATTTACATAAAATTAAGGCAGTGGAGGATCCAAGAATTTTTTATATGACAATATCTACAACTAAACAAAGAAAATTTATATATTTTTAAAACAGAATCATTATTTGTTTTTTGGTAAGATTAAAACCGAATCATTATCATATTAGTAAAATTATCATTTATTTATTATTATCCACGTTAATTTAAAAGTTTAAGAGAATATCTGCTTTTTTCTCATAAAAGGATGGGATAATAACATAACTCTTTTAGATTTATAACTATATTTGACATTATCATATTAAATCTATTAAGATAAATATATTTCTTTTTGAAAAATATAAATAAAATGATAATATAATTATTATAGATTTACAATTATATTATTATCCATGTCAAAATTTTAAAACATTTTACTTTTTTCTCACATAGGAAGATAGAACAATAACGTAACAGTTTAAGATTTACAACATAAAAATAATATCAGAATTGGAACGCCAAATCATAATCAACACAATTAACACAACTCTAATGGGAAATTAGAGTTATATTGTGATTAAAATACTAAACAAACAAAACTAACCGAAACAAAACAAAAGTCTTCCTTTCAAAATCATTAACGTGACGGATTGCTGACTGATTAAGTTGAAGTTTTAGGCATTTAAAGATCTAGAAAGATGATTAAGGTTAAAAATTTTTATTTATTTTAAACAACGTTTGAATGTTGACAAAAAAAGAAGAAGAGAGTGTTGGGACCATCGGGAGAGACAACATTGAGCAGCTGCGAAAGAAGCCAACGTTGTCTATTATGTTCCTCACAGTGTTTGATTTGACTTTTGATGACATTACACTCCTGTCCACTTGTTGTCTCGAAAGTTCATGCAATGGAAAATTATTAAACAAAACAATTTACTTTTATGTATAAATCCTAGGGAAGAACCGATCAAGCTAAGATCAATGGTTGTGGTTTTAGTACCGTATACTTCTCAAATATACCCGTTGAATAACGGAAATCCGCAAGACGGGGAGGAGACGAAGTCAACCTAGCTGGCAAAGGAGCTAACCCAGCTCCTTTGGTCTTATTTATGGTCATATGTATTTAGCAAAATATGGTATACAAATCGAACTAATCAACAACAAAACCTGGTTTTAAATTGTTGTATATTTCTCAAAAGTCAAAACCCATAATAACCAATGGAACAGAAGAAGCTAATGCAGAGCATACTTACGCTTGGAGTAAAGAGTGATGCAAGCTTCCATTGGCACACCCGAAAACGCATCAGAGCATGGAAAGAAACCTAAAAACCAATAAATTAAACAATAATTAAATCTTAGTGCATGGAAAACGAATCCTATACATACCAAAGTCCGAATCTCAGTGCCTTAGAATGACCTCGATACCAAAAACTTTAAGTTACTACTTCAATATATGTAATATTTTAGTTTGGGGAGAGAGATTGGCAACGAAGAGTAATTCCTGAATTTAACAGCCAAGTTTGTTATCCCTAATCTAAAGAGAGGAATACTTAAATTGTATTAACGACAAAAATTAGCCTCCTCTGAAGATTCATCCCTGAAATAAGTCATCTTTCTGACTTTGTGGCAACTGTGTTATCAAAAGTTGAGTGTTTCTTCTGAGAAAAGACATATTTGAAAATAATAAGAACATGTACCTCAACAAAATCGAGAGGTACCTCATCTTTTTACAACAAAAAGAAACATACCAAACCATCGATGATTACCTTCTCAAAAGTTGAAACCAAACTTTTTGATTA